ACGTGAAGGGTGTCCTAATGACTTCTGGAGATTTTTGAATTTTTAACATTAAAAAATTCATAACATTTGTAGATGAACATCTTTTGCGGCGAGGTGGTCAGCACTAGAAACGTCTCGTCCTCCGCTTTCAGAAAATATTAGGTCATTCCGAAAGTAATTTCGCTTTTTTCAAACGGGCGTCACATTTGATGGTACAAAGATTTCTAAGAGGTCTTGCGGGCATTCGATGCAGAATTTTATTCTCTTTCTAATGGCTGTGAGATTGTTGCAACACAATCAATGAGCTTTCAGAAAATAACCAAAACCTGCGACCTATGCTTTTTGAGATGGTCAAGTTTCACGATTTTTTAAAAATTTCATATCAATCCTCAAAAGGAGTTCAAATAACGATTGGATAGAGAAAACCTTATAGAATACAGTACTATTTTTCCTCCGTTCCATAACTTGTCATACATTTTTAACAGAATTTTAACTGATGCTACCGATTTCCATATTTGGGCAGCTAAATCCTCGTAGAAGATCAATGGAAGTGCAGCTAGGGCACTATTCGATGCAGCATTTTCTCCTCTTTCTAACGGTGTTGTTTGTTTCCGATTCGTTTAGTTTTCGGGGATAATATCATCATAACTCATTATTTTAGCGAGCTCCAGGCTGTACCCGAGAAACTTGAAATTTTATATTTCGAACCCGTAAACCCTCGCTTGCTTTGCAAAATTAATGCTAACTCATAGTACCATCTTGGTAGTCTCAAATTCCAAAAAATTTATGATGTTTGATGCGATTGTGGCTGAGGTGGACCTGCCAAAATCGGATGGTTCTATTAAAAAATCTTTTAAAAAATTACGGCGAGCTATGAAAAAGAGGAAAAAGATGAACTGTATTCTATGAGGTTTGCTCTATCGAATCGTTACTTGAACTCCTTCTGAGAATTAATATAATAGTTTTGAAAAATCGTGAAAATTGACCATCTCAAAAAGCATAGGCCGCAGATTTTGGTTATTTTCTGAAAGCTCGTTGATCGCGTTGCAGCCGTTTCATAACCATTAAAAAGAAGATGAAATGCTGCATCGAATGTTTCCAAGATCTTTTAGGAATCTTTGTTCCATCAAATGTGAAGCCCGTTTGAAAAAAGCGAAATTACTTTCGGAATGATCTAATATATGCTTTGCCTGGGGTCCATTAGAAAAAGTGTTGGTTGAAGGGTGGGTGAGACAATGGGAGTGCTCAAGTAGACGTCTTTTTACAATGGTAAAAAAGCCTGTACTTGAGCATTCCCATTATAAAAGTCTCACCCACCCTTCACGCACTTTTTCTAATGGATCCCAGCCAATGTATAAATTTTCTAAGAGCTGAGGACGAGTCGGTTCCAACGGTGACCACCTCGCCGCAAAAGATGTTCATCTACAGATGTTATGAATTTTTTAATGTTAAAAATTCAAAAAATCTCCAGAAATTACTAGGACACCCTTCACCCAAGTGCTTTTTTTGACGGACTCCAAGCAAAGTATATATTTTTTGAAAGCGGAGGACGAGACGGTTCCAATGGTGACCATCTCGGTGTACAAGATGCTTACCTACAAAATTTATCAATTTTTTAACGTTAAAAACTCGAAAGTTCCCAAAAATCATTAGGCACACCCTTCACCACACTTTCTTGAACGGATCTCAGATATGCTATATGCTTTCTGACGGAGGACGATACGGTTCCTACGGTGACCATTTCGCCGTAAAAAATGTCCATCTACAAAAGTTGTGAATTTTTTTATGTTGAAAACTCCAAAATGTCCAGAAATCACTACTCACACCCGTCACCAAGCATTTTTTCAACAGACTCCTCCATTCCTGTACATAAACAATTCACGTACAAATATCTCCTTTGCTTAACCTTACCTCACTGCTCATTTCTTTTCTCGGCTTTTGGTGAAGGGGGTCACCTTGGTCCCGGCTCAGGGGTGAAGAGGGGGTGAGAAAATTTTCACACTATCGCACCTATGCTCGCAAGTAGTATCCATTAAGTTACTAGGGGAACAATATTGGAGTGGCGTTTCAAATGCATTTGGATGTTCGTCGAAATACCCCTTTGCATACCAAATGTATGCTAGAAAATTTTTGTAAAGAGGAGCTGAAAATTGATGATATATGAGCGACAAAAGCCTCAAGAGAGAGTCGCTACTGTAGACGACGAAACCAAGATTGTGTGCGACCACGCGAGAAATGAAGCGCTCGTACATCGCTTTGGAGGGCAGAAAGAAGTAGACATCTAGGGGCTTTATACGAGACGTTATGCCAGGTGGAATGTCTAGAATTTTTAGTTGTTTTTTCTGGGGGAACAACAGATAAAATAGCCCGTTTTCTACCGCCCATGTGGGGTCCTCTTCGCGCTCTTCCAACAAATTTTCTTCCTCCGAATCTATGTCCAATCCATGCCATTCGGCCTCTCGTAGAACAGCAGCTAAACTATTGTTTATTTTCTGTTCTTTTCGTGATAGTGCGCGAATGATCTGGCCGAATTCCTTAAACAGCCTTGTGAGCACAAAGGCAGGAGAAGACATTTTCCCGATTAATGATAGTGCGCATTTTTTGAGCTTTATATGGTGATGAACATGCTTCACCATGTTTGGTCTTGTTTCACTAGTTACGAAATCAAATGAAGTTTCAGGGTGTCATTACAAGCAGTTATGCCAGAAAATTGTTTCCTTAGGTCACATTTGTCAAGGGCAGTACAGTAAGTTAGAAAACCATTAGAATGAATTAGAAAACTATCGATCTTTTGTTTTTACTCAGATAATCGCCGGGGGCAGGCGGTCAGCAGAATTTTGGGGCGTGGCCAAACCTTCAGCTGGCGGCACTTCCTTTACGGTCGCATATTTTGCCAACGAGCAGCAGAACAGCATTTTTTGCAGGCGCTCGGCAAATAATTTCTTTCAGCGAGCGTTGGCCAAACTTTCAGCAAGCGCTCGGACTCTTTTTACGCAATCTTGGACGTACGCCTAGAAGAGGTGAGATTCTATGCGGTAGAGGTGTCATCGATGGTTTAACTACCCAAATCTGGGGTACCTGGTCCCTCACAAAGGACCGTGCGGTCCCCAACAATTTTGCATATTCTCGCGGAAAGTCCCCGAGAATGCGGCCACTGGGCCGCAAGTTATCTATAGAAAGACCGCGATAGTTCTCCGAGCGCTCATCCAAAAATTGGCCAAAATTTCCAAATTTCTGCAAGCGGACAGCAAGAAATCAGCGAACTATTTTTCCGGTGCCCGCTTGCTCAAAATTCGCATGGCCGTCTGCCCCCGGCGATTGACTGAGCTATACCGTAGATGAACTCGACCTGATAGTGCCTTTTCCCTTGTCTTTTTTCAAAAGGAATAATGACAAAAATTATCCGAAGTTATAATGCAGCGCCCAGTAGGGATGAGCCAGGTTACAACGCTTTCAAAGTATCATAAGCGCTTCACTTCAAAGAAATCCTAGATGATCCTCCTTCCCAAACCACTTTTTTAACGGAAAATTCCCGCTAACTTTTTACCTCCTTCATTTGAAACGATTTTCAACAATGGGCGTCCGAGAAGTGGATTTTGATTTAAGCCCGATACCATATGCAATGGTATCAGGTTCATACGGAAAACTGGGATACGATATCGCAATCTCTGTCGTAGCAACATCCACATGTTTAGAATTACATGCATACGAATAGAATGAAATAATGACCCCTGTTTTTTAGGGTTTTTAAAACTCATGCTAGCAAGGAGAGCCTTACACCGTTTTCGGTGTCTTTCGTCATCCGAAGCTATTTTCTGTTTCATGAAGGGTGTGCTCCATTTTGATGAAATTGAATATGGGAACTGCCTGCCGCATGTAAGAAATCACTTTTTTCTCCCTTGAACGTGTTTCTTAAAGTCCTCTCCAATCAAAATAAGGGTGGAGGGGAGGGGGGGGGAATAATGCTGTACAAACATTGCTCCCAACTAAGTGATCACCAAGGATTCAATGCAAAGCTTGGATTCAGTAGCAAAGGATGGAGGGACCAGAGAAAACGACTGCAACCTATAGTTAAGCGCAGAAAAAGTTAAATCAGTTTACGCACAAAGAGAGTCTATAGAACGCATATAACATTACTCCTGGCACTTTGAGTTTTTTATATATAGATCCGCAATTACGTATCGAAGGTTTAATTGATAGCATAAACCCAGCGACGAGATACAACACTCAAGTACAAAAATGCTGAAAATATTGCCCGCCACTTGGATCTACCCCAACAACTTGTTCCTGTCGAGCATTAGCATTTTTCAGAAGTTTAATGCTAAAGCCCTAAACTTGGGTATTACCAAATTATGAAACTTGCTAAAAAAAGTCGAGATTCAGATAGGCCTTAGGCTCTGGGCATACCTCACACGATTCAAGTCGCAACTCAGTTTGGCAATTCTACAATTGTTCATAACACATCGTAAGTTTGTGAATGTGAATGTACAGAAGATGGGGCGTTTTATCAATCTACGGAAGCTATACGTGCCGTGCAATTGGGGTCTGCCGGTATTGAATTTGAACACTGGCAAATTTCCAGACCGCGTGGCGATTTAAATCGCGTGAGGTATGCCTACGACTTTATCCTTATTACACTAGCTTGCCAGAGCTGATGGCAACTAATGCTACTTGATATGCAAACTTATAACATATGCGCTTCGTATGGAGTTATACGCTGTTTGGGGTTATTAAAGGCCCACTGACATGTAGTTTTGTTCAGATCAAATCATTGTACAAGACACTGTGCCCAATACCTGAAAGTGAAAAGCGAAGCGTTGAAAGGATAGTTGAGAACGTGAGAATAACCATGCATTCTCGTAGTTTTCAATCAACATTTTTTTTGCCGCCGTCGTTGCCGATCAATGGGCTTGCGATTGAGTTCTATTCCTCTGACACACCATCACTAAAATGTTGCCAATTACCTTCACATTTCATAGATCAAAGCATTAACCTTCAAAAACTGATGTGTTTATATTATTAGATCGGTTTTGTAGCCCGGGTATTAGCGATGCGATGGAACGCGCTACTACAGAGAAGCATTGCGCCACTATCGAGCCGGCTATCATCACCTATCGTTGGAAAGTCCCCGAAAAAAGTGACTGCCGATGAAGCAGTCAGTCAGATTAAGTCTAGTAAGATACAATTATGTGGAATCACATTCTTCCATTAGCCTCTTTGAACTTCAGATTCGACCCTATATGTACATACTCAAGCCTCTACACCGACTGAGCTGCTGACTTCACTCTGTAACCGCGTGGAAAATCATCAACTTTCCGGGCTCTGTGTGTATCACACACTCTTGGGTGGCGAGATTCCGTGGTCCAACGAAAAATTCTTTGGTTTGTACAGTAGAATCTTATTCTCTACTTCTTTCGACTGTAAAGTTCAGTTTAGGTAAAATACGCTCCAATAGTTTCTTTCTGGACAACACTATTCGGAGATTAGTGAACAATGGTAAACTGCTTTGAAATCTTGGCATGTTGCTCACAAACCATTAGCAGGTCATGCCGATTATATTCCTATGTTTCTTTCGGATATACCCAAATACTTCCGAAATGGGACACTACCTCTAGATTTTGCACTAATCTCGACCACCCCACCAGGTGGACAGTGCTTTTAAATTACTTCGAACAAATCTTCTTTGATTCAGAGAAGAATTGCTGTAGATAGACTTGGTTATTGCTCAATCGGTGTAAATGTGGATACCTCGCTTGGTCCCATCGAAAGTGCGAAAAAGATCATTGGTAAGTTTTGAGCTGCTTTTTTACAGGGTGTCCCAAAGGTGTGCCTACTATTTGATTACAAAAAACTTTCTCATCATGAATCTTTCGGGAAGGTCTAGGTACCATTTTGTAGAGCTGGCTTCAACTTAGATTTACAGCATAGAGCGGACTGATCTCTTATTATCAGGGTCAAGCAAGGGGTGTGGCACACGATCGCTGGTTACGACCCCCCCCCCCTTGATTGCTGTCTTAATAAGACCCCCCCTGAACTATACACTCAAGATAGCATTACTTGAAGGCCCTGTCAAACATAATGGGCAACATATCCACAATTAGCATGTCAAATAACCCCTGTAGACAAAGTGTGAGCGAATTCTGAAGATTCAAGGTACTAGGCTACCTAAGTGAAATGGTCAAATTCCAACATGGTTAACTTTATTTCAAAGGTGAATTAGCTAGTTTTTGCGCTCAGCACAAAGCACTACTCATTCTTTGTCCACCTCAGGAATCCCGCTTCGGAAGACCTCCAAACTGTGGAATTAGAAGCCAACCAAAATCTCGTTTTTCCCATTTTTCGCTTTTGATCGCTGTGCTTTCACCGAATATTACTCAGAGCTAAGAAGACGAATTGGGCTCCAAACAGTCCTGTGGAATCTACAAGGTTTAGGCTATCAATTCATATAAATATTGTCCGCTAAAATCGTCTTTCAATATAGTTGATGGGGTGCGGCACACCCCCTTAAAAGCTGCGGCGGCCGCAGGTCTTCTGAAGCGGGATTCCTGAGGTGGACAAAGAAGGAGTAGTGCTTTGTCCTGAGCGCAAAAACGGATAGCTAATTCACCTTTGAAACAAAGTTAACCATGTTGGAATTTGACCAATTCACTTAGGTAGCCTAGTATCTTGAATCTTCAGAATTCGCTCACACTTTGTCTACAGGGCTTATTTGACACCAGCGTCACCTCTGCTTCGCAGAGGCTCCCACTGGCCCCTACTTTCTGTATGCCTTACTCATTCCCGCATAATAGTGACATTGAAACTCACCGTGCCATGCCGACTAGCTTTTTCACGAGATCGGTGATTTCGCATGGAAAAAACTTTTCGCAGGAAGACAAAGGCAAATTTGAATAGGTCTTTAAATTTGTCATGGTTTGATAGTCGCCATAAAGGCAATAGTCACCGTAAGCTACATCTCTGTGCGAAAATCTTCTCAAATGCTTTTCTAGAACCTCGGCAAATTGACCATTTACGCGAGCAATACTTTCTGGCGCCGTTTTTGTAAAGTAATGGACTTTTGGTCACTTATTTGGGTCTAAGTTCATGGCTTGCACATTTACTTGCCATAAACACCCACCACTCTGCAAAAAGTGGAATTACGGACCCAATTTTGTGGGCCAAATGCAAGGTGGATCCGTTTGACGCGCAATTTTCAAGAGACCCACTCAACGAATCTGCTTGTGCTCTTGCATGTTGGACCTTCATGCCAGTAGCAAGTGCTATGCAAAATTTGAGACCAGGACGTTGACTGGAACACGCTCTACGAATGTCGTGACAGACAGACATTCAGACACACACACACAAAAACACGTAAACACTTTTAGCGCGTTATTATAGTAGGATGCTAATTATGGATAAGGTACGAATATCATATTATCACTATTATCAGATTACCCAAGTACGACCCCCTCCCCTTTTGACTCCTCAGTACGACCCTCCAGGTGTGGCGTGCCGCACCCCACGCTTGACCCCATACCTTCGATAGTCAAGAGACAGAGGCTGGAAAGTGATAGTTGTTTGAGCTCCTGCCCCCTATAAAAAGTGAAGGTTGTTTCAGAAAAATAGATGGAAATTTAGAGATATGAATTAAACCAGGAAACTTGAAAAATTCGTATAAAGCAGAGGTTAGCACATCACAAAATTTAAAACATTAATTTGGTGGCTCCTTACGCACAGTTTCCTCTTCAGAATTGCCGGTTAATTGGGTGGCAACAAGAACAAAGTTCTTTTCCAATCAAAAAAGCGCTGTATAGCTGTGGCGGTAAATGGGAGACCGGAAGAAGGAAAACTTGTCAACAACTGAATTGACATGTTAAACACGTCTAAAAAGATATGTTGCACATCGACGCCAATCTGATTTTTGATGCGTCCTTTGAATTTTCACCCCCGCGTAGTCGTTTCGTATCCGGTGACGTTGTCTAGATTCTTCCGCTCATCATTCTGAGCAAGTATCGTCCAACTGGAGAAAATTCGTTACGAAAGCACTGAAAGAGAACAAGGTAAAGAAAAACGCACTTTTTAGCAATTTTCACAGAAAAAACCGACATAAGCAAAGAAGTAAGCTCGGCGACGTTGTCTACATCATAGAGAGAACCAAGACCTATCGACTACATAAAAAAGGCGATTGAAAAGAGTTAAAGTGAAGAAAAAACAAGAGGTTTTCGAAAACGGCGTTTTATCGAGATTTCTAGTTAAATCATGAAAAGGAGTCCTGCGACGTTGTCAGCGTGAAAATAGAGATCAAGAGCTTTAATATGATATATGGATTGTCGTAATTGGGCTCCGAACAATGAAGAAAATGGTACCAGAGCCAAATGCCCCGCGTCCCGCTTTGAGGTAGCGAGGTAGTGCGCAACGCGCGGAGACGCAGACGAGCAGCGGAGACAGACCAGAGCCGGCGGGGCATTTGGCTCTGGTCATTGATCTCCGCGGGGTCATAACGAAACCCTATAACATTATATATCGTTGTGATCCTCATGAGACGGCCAGGAGCAGTGACAACGTCGCGGATCTTGAAAATCACTCCATAACGAGATAGATCAGCATTTATGTGGCGACCCTCTGCGCAAGATTTGTGCACAGTTTCTCGTTTTTATTGAACTTCAGCGGCTTTCATGAACTTCCAAGGCTCAATCGCAGTCTAGAGAAAGGTCAATTGAGAAGTTTTGGCCTAGTTTTCAATTGAATTTTTGAATAACAACCTTCTTTCCAGCAAAAAAGGCCATAAAAACGCAATCCTTTGGTTTTTTGAGGTTCCTTTGGATGCCACTTGTACTGCTATATTTGTCTCATTCACATTTATCCCTACATGGTTATGTCATTAATTATGTCATGATATTCGAGGCTTTGCCCCGGATGACTTCTTTACTTCTCTCCAGGTGAAGGTTGTGGTCTATCATGATGCTCAAAGTGAAGGTTACCAGAGTACATGGCTCTATGTATCGAAGGTATGCTTGACCCTGTTTATTATTTCTGTAGGACAGCGTTAGGAACTTGCAGCATATGGCGCTGCTGTGAGATGGGTCTTTCGAGAAAAAATTTCCAAAAATAATAGAAATTTCTATGAAAGGGTTTTTATGCATGCTGATTTCACTAAACAACCTTTTGTGGGAGACGGTCAAGAGGCGTAATTTTTCCAGAGGTCACCAGTTTAGCAATCCAATTTCAAGCAAAGAGAATCTTCCAAAATAACCGATAACATGCTCTAGCTTCTTAGTATCTAGAACTCCACTTGCTAAGTTTGACAGCTTCTGTGAAAACTTGATTGGAATATACACGAAAACGCCATTAGTTGCACTTTCACGTGTTTTTGTTCTCCAAAGTTATGTTTTATGAATCTATAGCAGAATAGTAGAATAAAGCAACCCGTGAGATGATCATACATATCTTGTTAGAAACCAGAATTGCTCCTAGAACATCATAAAATACTAAAAATGGGCTGATTAGTGTAAATCTGGCAATAAAAATCTCTCCTCTTAACATGCACCCAAATCAGATTTACGGCGTATATCATAAATCGCTTGTTACAATATATCCGGCACAACTCACGAGAAAAGCGTTACGGTGAAGTGCGAGTTTCGTATTCGAAATCTCAGCGACTCCGACTAACCTACTGTAGAAGTTTTCAGCTTCTCTAATCCTTTTTTATGGGTAAGATATGACCCTTGATAACGCAAAATCCTCCTCAAATTACACTGTAATCCTATAGTAACGAAAAGAACGGTAATTTGCTCCATATATCGGAATAAGTTGAAGCCGACTCTACTAAATGGTACCCAAAGCTTTTCGGAAGACTTCATGACAAGAGAGTTAACAGTCAAATACTAGGCCCATTTCTGGGACACCTGTGTTATTCCTCTGGATTAGTATTTCCAACAACTAAACTTGGTTTTAAAAATGCAGTAATATTCAAAATCTGCGATAATGTATTCAACCAAAGATCTTGTAGCCGTTACCAACAAAAGGATGCCACGAACTTTCGGGATCACCAGCATTCATCAATCTCACATTGATTCCATTGTCGAAGTGGACCGAGATATCTATGGCACTTCTGAAGAAGCAAGCATCACTGAAGTAAGCGTGTGCTTAGAGCGAAAACACCTGATCAATCTAAACATATGTTCTCCTTGTTTCTCGCAAATACATTCAGTTGACTGCAGCATATGTGAAATACCATATACTAGCTGGCATGCCCGGCTTCGCCCGCATCGATGATTTGACTGGCTTAACAAAGCGCAAGACTGGCGCACAACTCTTAAAGCCCAACTCACTGCGTTTTGGTTTTCTTCTATTTCTCGTGCAAAACATAGTAGACTTCCTAACCGCATTGCCTTGAATTACCGCATTCACCCATCGTGGAATAGAAATGAGTTTTACCGCTATTCTTTACACGGAAATTGTGTGGTTTGATAGTATTGATAAGAGCTCATTTTCCTTCAAAATCAATAAATCAGGAATTTCGCTGCGAAAAAGTAGCCTACGGGGTGGGCCGGCGTCGAAAATATATGCGTGCGAAGTTATGCTCTAACTGGTCTACACACAAACTTTTCTATAAAACACACACTAACTTACAATTTACCAATACTCAGCTTTATATATGTAGTAAGATATTTAGATTTGGGTTTAAATGACATCAACTAAACTAACGTCCAGACTCTCAAACTTATAAGATTTTTCGTAATAACTTCAGAAGGGGTCATCCCAATTTGAAAAATGCTATTACTGCCTTTCAACAATTAGATGATCTGCATTTGGCAACGCATATCATAATGCGGCTCTTTGGTAGGGGGCCGAATGCCAAAAATAATGACTCTTTTTAATAGTCTTCGTACAGAGTGAATATGGTAGTTTTACACACTGAAAGCTCACTGCTTGCCACTAACTCTATCGAATAAGTAAATTGCCTTTGGTGAAGACATTTGTTTTATCGAATCTTATTTTTTGACAATTTTAATTATGGCAATCTTTGCTGAGGTAACTTGATCACTCTCATGAGTACCCTGTTCAACATTTCTTCCAAAATACTGATGCTCTCTTCGTCAACCGCGGGGAGATAGGTATATGGTATATAAGATCTAGGAAAAATCTTGTTTTTACTTTTTTGATATATATATAAGCGCATATAAATAAAGTGATATATATTATTAATATATATATATATATATAAACGCATATAAATAAAGTTCGGGAAGAAAATAAAATTGGTAGATTGATTGCTGACAACCTCGTCGAAGATGGTGCTACGCTCCAGTTAGGTTCTCCTCATTACCTTATCACCGCTTTTATCAGTTTATCGCTTGAGTTTAGGAATTGGCGCGATACCGGATTCGACCCTTGCAGCGATGAAGCATCACAAGAACCTTGGCATACATACTGAACTTGTTGGGAATGGGGTGGTAGATTTGATTGAAAGAGGTGTCATTGACAATTCAAAGAAATCCGTGATGCCTGGAAAGGTATGCAGTAGATTTACTTGCCAAACGCAACAAATTTTTCCAGATAGTAACAAGCTTCGCGTTTGGTCCAAAGAAGTTTTACGACTTTGTGGACAATAATCCTATGTTTCGTAAGATTAACTTTTGTTCTTGGCAAAAACAACTCAACTAATTCAGATTTTACTTGCTGTAGTTGGACGAATGATCTTGATGTTATAAGGGCAAATTCTAAGATGACTTGTGTGAACTCTGGCATTGAGATCGATTTGACTGGGCAAGTGGTTTCAGATTCTATAGGGACCACGTTCTACTCAGGTTGATTGGTCTTGAAAGTTTCCACCAAATCAAAGCTGATTGATATTCAGGTTTCGGTGGACAACTAGACTTCATGACAGCTGCGACAACGACCAATGATGGGCTTGGAAAAGCCATCATTGCGATAACATCCAGAACCAATAGGGGCAAATCAAAAATTACGAGCACACTGGCTAAGGCTTGTTGAATTCCGAAAAGGTCTCACTCAGCCCTTGAACTTATTTAGGGTGCTGGAGTAGTCACAACTCGAGGCCATGTAAGGTACGTTGTCACCGAATATGGTATCGCAAGTCTTGGTGGGAAGAATGTCCGACAACGAGCGCATGCACTCATACAGATTGCTCACCCAGACGTCCGGGAACAATTAGAGGAAGAAGCCTACGAACGGTTGAAATGTATGCCTTCACCTTAACTACTCGTACCTGTAATAGATTTTTTTCTACATTTTGTGGTATTCTTCTTGAAGAATTTATACTAGAAGTTTCTTATTCATTGAATGTTTTGCACTTATGTTAGATGTCTGTCCACACACTGTTCACTTTTCGCAAACTGTTTCGCTTAATGCGTAAAATGTTCATGACCTTATGTACATAAATCTAAACCGCTCTTGTTCAGAAGTCATTATTCACGCAGGATTGCTCTTTTGTGTTTGAAACAATATGGCAAAGGTACGTGGTATTTTCCAACACAGTATACGGATGACATTTAGATGATGTTGTACTAGGTCAGCCCAAAAGTTCGTGCCCTTTTTTACATCCATCCACAAATCACTCGGATTTATGGGAGAACCTCTGAACAAGGTTCGATGCAAATTCTTCTTTCTTTAGCAGTGAACATTGTTTGATCCTATGATGATCGTTCGAATCATCGTCGAGATATTCAATATATGGTTTTCCCTCGCCCTGATTTTGGTTATTTTATGTTTCGCTTCACACTTTTGCACAAATTTCAATAACTCTTGGATAGAGTAAATAAGATGCAAACGATGAAGTGTCTCAAACTGGCTTTTCCATATTTTCATTGTAATTTTTTTCAGAAAGTATTTATTCTTGCGAGTCATAAAATACAAAACGCTTCACATACTAATGAATCTTCGGAATTTGGAGCTTCCAAAACTCTATGATTGAAGCCTTGCTCATTTTACAAGGCAACAGAGTGTTCACCGTTTAGAAATAATGGAATTTCGAATTCCGTGTACAACCTGGGAGCGCTAGAAGAGAATTGTAACGATTTTCTTTTCGCGATTCCCCCCAAATCCGAGGCACCGATGGAAAGAGAATTGCCGTTTGCGGTTAGCTTACATTATTGAATCTTCGGGATTTGAAACTTACAGGAATCGCTTATGATGTAACAATAATCTTACAAGGCGAATGAAAGTCGCCAGCTTTGAAACCATATTTTGAATTTTTCTGGCTAAACATGGAGCGAGTTTTGATTCGTAATGAACTTATCCATAAACTTTAAAAAAAAGTTTATTAAAAACAGGATAAAAACTGCATCGAAGAGCACCCTATTTGCTCGTTATTTGATGTTCTATGAGATTTAGTATGTCCAAATATGGAAACTGATAGCATCAAAATATAATCAGAGAAGTCCCAAAAATCAGCTATAGATTGTATTGTATCCTTTGCTTGCTGTGTCAAATTGCTTTCAAAGCTTTCCAAAAGTCTGAAATGAAAATCGTAAACATAGCTTAGTTTAAGATAGGCAAAAACTATCGACTGACGACAATTGTTCAAGCTATCACCAGAAAATTGACGAAAAAACAAACTTGCTGAAAAGAGGTAGAAATTTTGCATTGAACACTGTTCTGAGCGTTTATTTACCGTGAGTAATTTGGTGATAAGTTTCAAGAATGGCTTGAACTTTTGGACTGACGCAGTTCTCCCGATTCATAACTATCGAAAGATCTCGTGACGCTTCTAGTCGTACAATGGCAGCTTGGAGAAGGGCCCCGCACAGATCGACAGAGGGCATGGTGGACTCGTCTAGGACAAAAAGCAACCGGGATATCGTTACAGCGCCGGCATGGGCGGCATGCTCTAACACAGCGCGAGAATTCAAAATTGTGCCTCAAAAAACGAAAGTCTTATTTACTGTCACACAGTAATGATATGACACCACATTTGAGTGGTTCACAATGCTTGTGGAAAAGTTACGTAAAATATTTTGAAAACTCATATGTGGTAATACCCTTTCCAAAAAGGGTTTGTTTGCAGACGACCACCAGACAATTCAAGATTGTCCGAAGCATATTTCTGTAAGGTACACGCCATACTGCTTGATCCCCTTTATCCGCTTCTTTATTGGTCAAAATCAGCAAACTGACCAATGGCGAAGTGGATGAAGCGGATCAAGTATGGCGCGTGCTTAAACTCACGCAAAATTTGAGTTTATTTATCATGGACGTTACAAGCTTGTGGATTCACGTGAAAAGTGTGTTTTTTTATAGAAGCAACTTAAATACACATCGCAGCAACTTAAATACACATCGCAGGGTGCGGGTAACGAGTCAAAGCAGCATACTGTGGCAGGTAACTCCGTACCCTCAAAGGTAGGTTTTATCCTCAAAGTTCATTGGCCGTATTCATGAAAGAGCTCTTGAGGGTAGGGTTTACCCCGGAAAGCGATTGACTTGTATTCATCAACAAACCTTGAAGGTAGCGTCTAGGCAGATCTGGACCTATGGGGATTTTACGTGGAAAGTAATTTTGGGGCCTTAACTAAGGCATGCCCAAGCGGCAGCGCAGATGGCCCACTAACGGCTGGGATATACGCCTCCAAACTGGACCCCAAGGTCGTATTCGCATGGATTCATGGCAGTTTCGCGCGAGGACCCACGCGTTGCGCCATGAATCCACGCGAAATTCGATCCTGGGGTCCATCCACTTTCGAGGGGAATATCTCAGCCATAAGAGCCACTACCTGAGCTGCCGGTCGGGCAGTGGCTTAGTTAGGGCCCCAAAATTACTATTCAAGTGAGATCCCCATGTATCCACACTTGTCTGGACGCTGCCTTTAAGGGTAAAACTTATCCCAGAGAGCGTATTACCGTATTTAGAACATAGCTCATCAGGGTAACCCTAGCAAAGAGCAAAATTAGAATTTCTTTGATACTTCGTACAAACATTAAGTGACCTCTCGATGCACCACTCAGTTCAAGCGATACTATTTTGACAATAAGCACATATTTATGGTTACTACTAGCTCAAACTTCATATGGCCTCCCTTCGTGCTTTTTTATGTTATCATCCGGTATTGTATTCGGCCGATGTTATAGTAAAGGATTTATTAGGTTGGCACATAAGTAATGCAACTTTTTATATAACTTTTGTATATTTGAACGTAGCACATTCATTTTTTGGCAATATAAGGAATATGATGTAAGCTTCTAATGCACACATTTTTGCCGAATTTTACCATCTTATGTGAGGATTACGGTAGGTTTACAATACTATGGGAAAAATTTTAGAATGCATCAGATTTTGCTGAAACTTGGCCTATAGGGCTTATTTGACATGCTGATCACAAAAATGAGATCCGTTTCGCATAAAAGGGCCTCGTTCGTGAGATCAAAAAAATGAATTTCATTTTAGCGACAAATGAATATGATATTCGTGTTTACCGCATAGGATTACCCTATAGTGCAAAGTTACAGCGAATTTTGACTTTTCGCAGCTCAGTTATTGACAAATTGCCTTCAAAACTTGACGCATTTGACTTGTTCAACTTCCCAAAGGCGCCGCAGGTTAATTTGTGTTTGGATTTCATTTCTTTTTCACTGATTCCAATGTGCCAACTTCCAGCTACATGCTGCCTATAATTGCTTTTTCATATGTTTGAATCAGGTTTCGTAGGGCTTCATGTTTGCCAAAAAATCGTGAAACCTCGATTTTCAGCAGTTTTCAAAAAATGCTTAGATTTTTTGTACTACGTTATCAAAAATCAAACGGTTTGCGCAGACTTGTAGCTTACATCACGATCTACATGATGCCACAAAATGAGATTGCCACAAAAAATAGGAAAAAAGTTACGGGAAAAGTTGCAAAACTTATGTGCCAACCTAATAATTACATGTCCAACTGAGGGCTTTGATGTGGCGAACATCAAGCTCGACAACTCGAAAAAATTTTCGTAATATGAACTCCCTCATTCAAATTTTAGTTCAATATACCCGTTCACTAAATGATCTGACCGAAATGTTACAACTTTTTTTGCTGTTCAGTAGAGAGAATCCTGAAGTTTTCAATACGCCTTCTGACTTTTATCGATGCCAAGACGTGTTTGATCTGCACATCAAGAAGAGGAATCTTTTCAACCATAAAAATTTTACAATTTTCTTCCTACAGCAATTTTTTTTGCTAAGTGATCTGATTGAGAAGCTTGTTAACTTCTGACCCGCAAAAACACTCGAGTTTTGCGATTTGCGCTCAGAAATTACAAGCTGTCGAACTTGCCTCTGGGTTGTTTCATACTGCCGCACTGACTGCAGCAGACTGCAGCTGACTGCAGACTGCAGCAGACTGCAGCTAACCGCACTGACCGCAACGGCCGGACAATCGCTGCATCCTATCGTAGAAAGAGAAATAATTGCGAATACATCAAAACACCGTGATTTACGTCTAGATGATAGGTTTTAACTTACTCTTTTAATTAAATTTTGGCGATTGTTCTTCTTTAATATGCTCATATTTGTTCAAATTCCTTTTGTCATTGAAAATACCTATTTTACTCCTGCTCGTGTTGTCTATCGGGGCATATATTGTTAAGAGACTGTTTGAGCTACAACTATTCATCTTCTCCACCTTCACAAAAGGATGTAGCGATCTGTTCGGCCCCGCGGTCATTGCGGTCAGCTGCAGTCAGCTGCAGTCTGCTGCGGTCAGTGCGGCAGTTTGAAACAACCCTCTGACTGCAACTCTTTTCGCAGCTGGTGTCGCTTCTGCGGGGATCGCCACGCCTGGATGTTGGGTTCAAAAGATGTGCAAGGCATTACCCATCAATGTTGCCAGTAATCAAAAATTTGGTCCTTTCTGTGCAGAACTAGAAGACTTCAAAGTCACTTACTAGAAAAACGATGCATTTCTAAGGGCAAAAAAAAATTTTTTTGCAGGTGGTCCTTCGGAAACATGAATAATCCTCATGACAGCCCCAGTAGACCCCTATATGATTACAACATCTGGGCTTTCCAGCTCTCAACCTGCCTGAGATAATCCTGCACAAAAAGGCCACTTTTCACGACGATCTTTTTCCATTTTGCGCCTGATAGTGGACCGCAGTGAGCTGCTGAGAAGCCAGCAAGACAAATATATGTTGTGGACAAAATTGTCTTTGCAGTGAAGTTAGTAGCTTTACAAAACAACCAATCTTTTTGAAGTTACAGGAATTCGAAAAAAATTCTCGCAGGTGCCCGGGAACTTTCTCTGAAGGATATCCGTCGACGACTGCCCCGTGCGATTACACCACCTTGGGCATGGCTTGGGGGCCTTTCCAGCTTGACAGTACGCTGCAGCTCGCGGGGACTTGGTAGCTCGCAGCATCCCTGTCCTTTCCCTATCCTGTCCTGTCCTACTGGCAAGCTGTAAAGGCTCCAAAAAAGCACGCCCACGGCGGTGTAATTGCAATAGTTGGAGCAGCCGTCGACGAATACCCTTTCGACCTAAGGCACCCGCCTTACTTGATCCGCTTAATCCACTTGATCCGCTTGATCCGCTTCGTCATTGGTCGATTCAGTGAATTGAGCAATAACGACGCGGTTGTCCGCTTGATCCGCTTGATCCACTTCATCCACTTCACTATTGGTCAGTTCACTGAATTGACCAATGATGAAGCGGATCAAGCGGATCAAGTGGATTAAGCGGATCAAGTATGGCGGGTGCCTAATATCTATCTTACAGTCTGCCCCAATCGGAACCAGGCCGAACCGCCGGCTGAATTTGCGCGCTCGCAAAATCAAGGGTTTGCGCTGCTTATGCGCGTTGTCGCAGAGAGCGAAGAGATTGAGAAAGTGCAAACTAGCTAGCCGCAGATGTGACGCGAACCATCGCGACAAGGGCTCCCGCCACCAAGTTTGGCCTGTTTGAGATTGGTGCAGACTGAGTTCAATTAGATAAAGGCTGTTTGAGATTGGTGCAGACTGAGTTCAATTAGATAAAGGCTGCTGCATGACGAAGGCGCACAAGCAGTATTAGTTGGGCGGGCGCGAGCGCTGCGCGCGCGTATCTTCACCGTTGCAGATTCTGCGCCTCATGCGCTAAGCGGTTAAATGAAACCGCGTTCGCGCCCAAAGATAATGCGCTTTCGTCATACGCAGCCTATACACTTAAAACTGACCAACAAAGTACCGTCTGCGCCCCAGAGATGTTCCCATGTGAACCAGCGTGCGTACGTGGTGCGACGCTGCCTTTCGCTCTATTTGACACGTTTCTCCTGAGATTTCAACGGTAGTGCCCGATGTTAACACGTTCAAAAGTGCGAAAGGCAGCGAGATGACGTGGTACCTATGGGAACCTCTCTGGGGCGCAGACGATAAAAGAACTTTCATCTTACAAGGAACAATACTTGGTGTCCGTGGCCTTTTGAGGTGAGATGTACACCATTACACTCGTCTTGGAGCGCTGATTCCAAATCCGACTTTCGTTTTGCTAATCGTTTCCCTGGAAGAAGTTATGAAGGGTTTTCGCGCCAAGGAAAATATAGTCGGAATGCCAAAACCGCCGCTACGATGTGGTGTAGTGACTAGTGTGATAGCCTCACAAGCTAATGCAGGTTTAGGTTTGAGTCTTTATGGTTTTTCAGTTTTGCTTTGCGTCAATCAAGCTTCTTTTTGAAAGTTAGGCATCCTCGACCGTATTTCTCTTAGGCCCGTATGCACGTACGTCCCCGCTGGGGAGGGGAGGGGAGCTGGATCCCCAGGGGAACGATCCCCTCCGCCGAACCCCGCCTTGACAGAGGGGAGGGGAGCGATCCCCTCCCCTGCACCTAAGCGGGGATGGTGTGAATGGTTTCAGAGGTATTGATCGAGCGAACCCCAGTGCATACGGGGTTCGAATGGGGGAGGGGATCCCTTCCCTTCCCCCACTCGAACCCCGTATGCGCGAATTTAACTCAATAACGCGGGGGAGGGGATCGACATCCCCTGCAACGAAGTAGGGGTTCGAGGGTGTAGATCATGCCAGAGACGCGGATATTCTGGTTCTGCTCAGTCATTACCAAGCATTTCGTTCATTTTGATGGAGGATTTTCTTTGAAAGCCGGGTTCTTCTCTCAGCGACCTGTGGCTTGCAATTTGTCTTTCTTTTCTATATTCGCCTCTTGAGAAGAAATCCGAGCAACAATAGCTGCCAATTTCGATTATTTGTAGGAGTTCTTGATCATTCAGGAAATTTGCGCATTTTTCATATAACATAATAGTTTTAACTATATAGGCTGAGTAAACACATTGTAACTTTCATATTCCATGACATGTTGCCATTATCTTGTTATTTTAACATAAGCTGCCTCGAAAAAATCTAGAAAGTAGCATATTTGCCTATTTCTAAGTAGAAATCCCCTGGGGAGTGATCCCCTCCCCAGCGTTCCCCTTGTGCATAGCAGGGATGGCTGCTGGGGATCATTCCCCTGGGATAAAGGACGATATGCAGCTGATAGCTACAGCGTTTATGGAGAGCTGGCACAATTTGCAGCTTCGGTTATGTGTTAGAATACTGCTTTGAGCGTCCGCGCGGCACCCCCTTCCCTTTTCGGCAGCATAACGTCTTCTACCCATTCCCTTGCAGAGACACATCAACTTCTATTGTTCAACGTTTTTACGCTGAAATGGAGCAGCATGAGCGAAAGTGGGCAGCATCCAAGAAAGCAGGAACATAATGGGAGTAGAGAAAATCATTTTTAGTGCCCCGAGCGCAGTCACTGCATACGCGCATTCCGCAACCCTGAATTAATGAAAGTGAGGAGATGAAGATGAGTTGCAGTCAAAATACGAAATAAGAAAGAGTTTTTCATAGAAAATTTGAAAGCAAGGTGATTTCCCCGCTTGATCCCCTCTTGTGCATAAGAGGGTTCACTTCCCCTCCCCACAGGGGATCCCTTGTCCGATATTGTCTTTGTGCATACGGGGGTTCGCGCGGGGAGGGGAGGGGATCCCCAGCGGGGATCATTTCAATGGTTAAGCGCACATCCCCTCCCCGCGGGGATGTACGTGCATACGGGCCTTAGGCGACCATTGACGCAAAAATCCTTCATGACTTCTTTTAGAAAAACGATTAGCAGAAACGGAAGCCAGATTCGAAATCAGCATTTCAAGACGAATGTAATGGTATACATCTCATCTCAGGAAGCCACGGACACAAAGAATCGTTCCCTTGTTAGTTTTTATAATATGATTAGACGAGACGAAGATGATTAGACGAAAAGGACTTGAAGGCAGTGGATCGCAGAATGAGTCCCGTGGCAAAACAAGGTCACAGGGTAGGAGCCCCCATAATGGAACCTTCGAACTTTGGCCTATAGGTTCCATTATGGGGGCTCCTACCCTGTGACCTTGTTTTGCCACGGGTCTCATTCTGCCGATCCACTGCCTCTAAGATATACAGTATCGCTAGGACCATTGTGCGATCACTTGATGCTTGTACGAAGTGTCAGAATGAGTCTAATCTTGCTCCATGTTAGGGTTAAATTTACCCATGAGCCACTTTCATGAATACGGGTTAGTTGCTTTCTGGGCTGAAATTTACCTCCAAGGTAAGATCTATCCTCAAGGTTCGTTGATGAATACGGGTCAGTCGGTTTCCGGGGTAAAATTTACTCTCAAGGGTAAGGTTTACCCTCAAGGTTCGTTGATGAATACGGATCAATCGCTTTCCGGGGTAAAATTTACTCTCAAGGGTAAGATTTACTCTAAAGGTTTGTTGATGAATACAGGTTAATCGCTTTCTGGGGTAAACTCTGCCTTCCAGGGTTCGTTGATGAAAACGGCCAATAAATCCTGGGGGTAGAACCTACCCTTGAGGGTAACGTTAACCCTCAGGGTTCGTTGTTGAATACGGTCACAGGCTGCATCACCCACAATTGTTCCCATATGAACCTCAACCTGGGATCGTTTTAGCACGTTAACTACAGCAAATTTAAGGCGCTTATTCGAAATCGACATGTTAAAATGATTGAAAGACAACCACGTTGATGTTTCAATTGGGATCAATTCTGGGGATGCACCATACTTCAAGCCATCATTTATATATAATTTTTCCTGGCTGAATTTGCATGGCTGAAACAAATTAGAGAAAAGCTTTTGAATCGTTGCTGAAAGGAACCAAGTTGAACAAAGGTTTTGATTCCAGCACGTGGCAAAAAAGTCTTTATATTTATGAAAAAAATTGTCTAAGCTAAAGCACTTATTTAAAGAGAACATTTTGGAAAATTGGGTCCGGATAACGGAAAAGTAGTATATGCGAATTCTTGCACACAAAACTGCGGACGTATCGGCGTCTCTCTGATCAAGCGCTCTTTCGTCTCTCTTACCACCTGCTGTCTCTCCTTAGCATTAGCTATCTTGGTCGGACGCAGCGGCGCCAGTCTTTGCGTTGAATCGCCCATACCTATTTTTGCTTACACATATTTGCTCGAACAGGTAAAACCGTACATGGACTTAGATAGAGGAATTTCTTAACGTATTTCGACAGTAAAGATGACCTTACCCCACGAATGTAATTTTTCCTGTCTTTTGACGAAAGGGGTTGCTTCACTTCAAGTCCAAATGAACGGATTCTTATACTATCACACCTCTGGTTCCGGCACAGTTCCGCACATGCGGGAACTATGCTAAAATTGCTCTGGAACTTCCGGATTAGATCCCATACTATTTGAGAGTTAGGGAGGAGTTTGTACACATCTAGAGAGAGTCTAAGCTATAGTTATAACTGAGTGAGACAAAATCATTGTTGCTTCATCAAATCTTGAAACCAAGCTAACTTCGCAAAAAGTGTGACACGAGAAAAAATGGGACAAATTCGATAAAAGTGTGCAATACTGCGTCGAACTCTTCAGCATTGTATTCAAATGACGTTCGTTGATATCTCGCTCTCATAAGTTTCAGATATAAAAACATTCTTTTGCATCATTTTCATTGTTGCTTTTCTTTTTTTGAGCAAATTCGGCGGAATTGCAATGATCGTTTCTTTTAGGTTTGTTTCTTGCTCGTTACTGCTCAACTGAGCCTCGCGATCCTGCAGACTCTGCAAAGAGTCATGTGGATTCTTCTTCTGCTCATCAGTATATCGATTGGTCAAATATTCACAGTCGGAGATGAGGTTCTTGATGTAAGTTTCGTCTTCTAGTCCTTTGAATGTGTTTTCCTTTTGTTTATGCCATTGCCGTTTTCTCTAAACCTTGGGTTCTTTCGTCACTTTGTTCCAAATTACAATTCACTATAATGTGTTCCTCGGTAACTGGCGGTATCACGACCGCAGCATTTTACGACTCATCATTTTGCGCGAGAGGTTTTGGCAGACAAGCTTTTTCAATCAAGATCTGCCCGAAAATATATGCCATTCGGGGAATTCCTAAAGTTGCATTGTTTATACTATCTTTTGAGAGATTTTTCGTCAGCTTCCGCATTGTTTCACATTGTAAAGTATGTCTCAAAGAGAACTCCCTTCTAGAGTTCAAACTATGTGAAAAGATTGCGCGCTTTTTGTCGCTTGGAAGGCATGCTCAGACCGCGCCGGCAACCGCCGGTCCGGTACCCATCCGAACCCGCATGAACCCGCCGCTGCCAAAAGGGTATTGATATGCCTGATCTCAAAGCCGCATGAATTACTGCGCACGCTGTGAAATGTATTTATCAGCCACAAGTAACTAGACGACATATCACCTTCCTTTCCTCACTTGGGGGTAAAGACCTACATGTCGCCGAATGTAGGAGGAACGCGGACTTCTTCCAAAGCCACCTCCATGCATGTGAAGGGGTGCATATTTGTTGCAGATGACCGCGGGGGCCGCCACATTTCGGCGACATATAGTCCTCTATCTCCACTTGGCAGGCGGCGGGTTTCGGCGGTTTAGGCGGTCTCGGAGGTCTAAACGACGCTTACAAGCCTGCGGGGCTTCGAGAGCCAAATTTTTCAGCCACGCGCTTGTTGTTGTTCAAAGGCACGCACCATACTCATTCACTTGGTCCGCTTGATCCATTGCATCCGCTTCACTATCAGTTCAAATCACTGAATGACTAATGAAATGGATCAAATAGATCAAGCAGATGAGGACATCCGCTTCGTTATCAGTGATTTCACTGATTTGACCAATAGCGTGGATGAAGTGGATAAATAGGATCATGTCTGATGCGCGCCAAAGTTACGCATGGGCAATTGGATTTTGCAAGCCGTGTACTTATGAGCGAAATTCAACATGACTGATTCCAGCATAAATCGCGGTCATTGTATCGATCTTTGCTGCAATATTTCAAGTAAAGGCAGCATTTCAGTTTTTAAACAAAGAATTATAGCTAGAATATTACAAAGTTTTTCCTTGCTTCACTTCACAGTTGAATTTTTGATGTAGGATGTGACGCCACGGATTGGACACTCACAAGGAGTTGTGTTGGTCAGTACCCTCGATGGCCAATTGCAAGCCTTGAATATGGAGGATGGATCAACGAAATGGACTTTACAAGAAGGTATGTTTTCTGTTATAATCAGTTGGACCAAAGACATATCATAGGCCTTATTCCCAATATTCATCGTCGTGAAGGCAATGCAACAAATGTGCATTGCTTTTCTATGTCTCATCATCAGACCTTACACTTTTAGTGCGTTATTGAGAAGCGTCTCCTTCATCGCTTCCCAAAATTGATTATGTTTACTTATGCTTTTGCGCTTTTGTAGCTTTAATCAGACTCATTTTCATAGTACTGCAGCGTTGCATGTCTGAGTAAGCATCGGATGTATGTCCGAAACAAGAAAGATATCCATCCATATAACTGCGCTTTTGTACAAGTTAAACCGAATGGCAGTGCTTTGTAAACAGCTGTCAGTGGTTAGAATTTCTCATCAGATCAGTACGAGGTCAGAATATCCAGTCGCAGGAATGGTTTTGCATGAAAATCTTCTAGAGCTACCATTGAGGCACCTCAGATTTTTGTTGTAGATCCCGTTCTGCGTGCACCGACAACAGTGAAAAAAGGTTTCACGTTCCTTCCAAATCCTCAAGATGGCTCACTTTATGTTCTCAAAGAAGGGATTTTGAAGCGACTACCACTGAATATACCAGCCTTGGTTCATGCTTCTCCACTCAAAAGCAGTGATGGTGTGTTATACGCAGGTCAGTACTTTCGCGGAGTGTCGCATCTTTTCGTTGTTCAATTCACCAAAGTACGTTGAGAGACTGTTTCGTTCCCTAGCTCCTTCATGGTCTAATGTCATTGGATTCCAGGTAGCAAAAGAGATGTTTGGCTTGAGATTGATCCCCTGACTGGTGCTAAGGTCAAACCCATCTTTATCACCATTTTTGGTCTGCTGAAATCGGTTTTTTAGGTAGAGACGATGTCAGCCACAAATGACAAAGTTTGTCCAGCTAATAACAAAAATGCCGTGTTCGTTGGCCGAACTGAATATCGTGTGAGTTTTTAGTTTACCTTGGTTTTTTCATGTCAACACTTGTCTTTTATTTTTTGTATTGGTTCTTACCACTTCGCATCAACGCAGAACAAGGGTGCTATGCATACTAGTCTGTGCCTCAACTTTTATTCAGTCCCGAGTTTGCTACATTCTAGAGCAGTCCATTAAGCGTTTTGGGCAGTTTAGCATCAGTTTTCTACAGTTATGGGGGTTATACTAAGCTGGCAGGTTGCTTACAATGATTATTATACTATGTGTTCCTTTCTTCTTGTGTCAGTCGCACCACTGCAAATGGTTCCTGATCAGCGTGCATTCCTCCTGTATTTTATGAGTCTTGTGCCCAAGTTCGCCCAGTGTAGGATCAAAATTGTAGTTTTTTTGTACAGATCAACTTGTGTTGTTTATCTCTCGTTACTCGTCTACTATCAATTCATTTGCTTCCATAGGCACTATTAGCCTTGTGACTAGTATTTATAGCCCTTCGAACCTATATTTCAAAAGTGGTCAGACCCTGGAGATCAAGGCTGCGTAATGCGATAAAAGAATTCGCTTCAGATAAGCATGTATGACACGAAAAATCGGGAGAAGACTTGGAATACCACCTTCTCTGATTACACAGCTCACCTACTTCCTTGTAAGTATTTTGTTTTCTTCGGGAGTTCAAGCAGTGTTGTTATTAGCAGAATGTTTTGAGTTTGTTAGGTGTTGACTTTTCACAAGAAGTCGCTAATTTAGCTAACAACGACTATCCTTTCCGGCACTATGTTACATCTAATGGAAATGTGTTGACAGTGGGACCAGGAGGTAGGCGCTTCTTACTTGTTTACTTTAATTCTCAGATTTTATGACTATTTTCTTTGATAAATCTCCTTCATATTCTCACGCCGTGAATTTTGCCTTAAAAGGTCCTCGTGACAGTTTTATATATTCATAGTAGTTCATGGCGGAATCAAGATACTCCAATGACTTTAGTGACACTCTTTACTGAATTCGCAGTCAAAGCAGTATGAGGGCGAAATGTTGCTGCTCTGCTGCTTACATCTTGTGTTGCTTTTAAAGAGAGTTATTAGCTAGACGATTATAGGTCTCTACTATTTCTGAATCACGTCATGAACGTTCTGTCATTTGATATTCAAGATAGCTTGCCACTTGCTACCGGTGCAGCTTGATGTGTGGAATCTTTCTCAAATTTTTTTGATTGCTCTCAATTTCTGCCATATGCTCAAGGACAGCTAATTCACACTCTGCCCACATCTCGGCAAAAATCGATGTATTTCCTTCTCTTATGTTTCGGACAGTAAAACATATTTTCCTTCCTTAATCGATTATTGTAAATGTGTCCCAACGATCATGTTTTGTAGCTGTTTCAACATGAGAATATCAGTTTTGCGCTGTTTGGACAACTTTTATCGGCTCTGCATATTCATGTTGCCATACTATTGAAAGGGGTAAAACTATCCAAGGTGGAAGAAGGCGAACATCTAGGGTATAGCGAATCGACTGTATCGTAGTGAATATGGGTATTTTTGCTGTTACGTCTCAAATCTTGCTCGTGGTTTTCTGCCCAATCTATTCTATCTAAGTCAATACAAAGCTTTTTTGTTATTTTTTTATTCTGATTATGTCACGGAAAACTCACACTGCACTTTGCTGACTCATATTTCTGTTGAAGAGACTCACTTTTTATAACAACTGCATACAGTCTAAGTAGAACGGCTTTGGATTTGCCCAAAAACGATTTTCACAACAGCGAGTGGCTGCCCCATACCATCTCTGCACTATCGTACCCGTACGCAGACTTGCGGCGCTGAAGTTCGAAATAGTGCAGTCAGACAAAAGCTAGCGTACAGATTGTGTGAATTGGAATCGATTCCTTTACTTGTTTGGACAAAGGTCTTTGCTACGGATTTATTTGCAACACTTTTGTATTAGCTCAAGTTTGAATTGCTCACATGGTTTAATGGATTCTCGAAAGTCAATTCTTATATGCCTCCTCTCGACAGGCAATAGGTCTATCTAAAATTACATAGGCCAACGCCGGACGGAAAGAGAGGGGCGGGGGTCCCTTAACCACGTTTCAAAAGCTTTTTAAGTCCGAGGAAATATGTAAGTTCGTTGCACGTGCTGCTCAAATCTTCGCCATCTTGAATAGATTTAAAACATAAATGATGGAGATTAAAAACCCATAAAAATGCAAATATTGGCAATTTTGTGAGTATTCCAACTTTTCATCAAAAGCCGAAACTTAGCAAACGGTAACCTCAGATAGTTACTGAACCAGAGCGCTTTGCCAGATATCTTATAAAACTTACATAGCTCTAATTTGGACCTGAAATGGTGACTTTGCAGAAATGGCGCCTCTAGACCGTCTGCCTCCTTTCCCATCCGTCTGAAGAGTATCTCGAAATTTTTGGAGGTGGACCACAGATATAAAACTGTGCAACTGACTTGCTTTTGTCTATGTACACATCATCAAAGTAATTTTGTTGACTTCATATAGCTAACATCAACTCTCTTTTAAGGAGATGCCTTTTTTTGGAGCCTTCGCTCCACGTAATCATCAAGATGCCAACTCAACGCGTAGTTGTGTCTGCGTCATCCTGGATACAGGGGGTACCCCGTTTGCACGCTCGCGCTGCTTTTCTAACCTGAACACATTAATCTCAAGTATTTGAGTGGAGCTTTCCAAAACAGCATGTTAGAAATCGTATGCGGCCAAACCGTGGATGTCCATTTCTGCGCAAAAAGATCATCTGTTTTCAGGTAGAAACTTACTTTTATTGATCATGCCTGGGAAAGCCTAGACAGCCGTGAAAAATCGCCTATCCCTTTCACTCAATTCTATTCTAATTCATTATCCAATTCACCCAATTTTTCCTAATTTGTCTCAGTTTTCCTTTTATCACGACATTTCTTATTACTGTAAAAAACAGGATGTATTCTTCTCTTCGGAAGTTGCATAGGAAAGGTGCAGACGTAAAGTATGCCTAGAGCTAATTTTGATGAAACGGGTGCTTGGCGGCTTCGCAGCATGATTTTCTGCACTTCATTGGGTAGTTAACTCAGCATTGCAGCTTTTCTGATGTGTAAAATCGTATATGATATCTCTTTCGAAAATCATACTGTGTCTGCATTACATGTACGCTTAGAAAACGTTCCAAGCGGGTAGGAAAAAGGCTATGCTGTAAAACGGTATTTTTGCTTCGATAAAAACTGTCTCGGCTTTCAGTGCACAGTCTAGCTCAGGTGTCGAATAACGCTTTCATAGGTACAATTTTACCGCACGGGATACGCTAGCCGATCTGGCCATAGTTCCTCTGCATATCTGTTTGAACGCAATCTTGCTTATCAAATCAATTTTCAAACGAAATTCTTTCACTGGAGAGTGCATTATCTGTGAGAAAGCATTCTTCAATCTTTTGTACGTTTTTGGATCATCATCGTGTTTACTCACTGACGACTTCATAAAACGTCATCTGCAGCCCGATGTTTCAATATTCTTTCCATTTCTAGAGCGTATCTCTTCTGATGAGTAAACATTAGTACCCCTTTGATTCAGTTGAGAATGAGTAGTTTCAGGTGAAATAATATGGGAACGTGATTTTGGTCTGCCTGTTGTTGCAATGTATCTTCTCCAAAATGACGGGCTGCACAAACTCAACTACGTCGTAATGGGTGGCGAAACAATGGAGAATATTATCAAGGTAATGTTGTTTTGCTTCCTTTTTTGAAATACATTTGTTTTCCGCTTTTAAATACATTTATTTATTGAAAAGATCACAGATTTTTCTTGAATGGTGCGAAGTTAAAACATGAAAAGTAGATGAGATATGTTGCATATCTAGCTGCGTTCTCATTCGCTTTCACGTCTTCAGAGTTCATCTGATGAACCTGCGGTAGCTTTCTGCTCAGACATTTGCCCGTTTCCACCCGTTTTGTTTTTATGCTTCTTCTTCCTGATTGAGCTGTCCCTGGAAGTGACCACACATAAGTTTCAAAACTTGAAGTTTGGTGGGGGCCATCGCCTATGGTACCGCTCTACTTTTATATTTGAGTGCATGCAGGCCAAATATGCGACTAATAGCAGCTGCTAGTCAAGCTGCGCTAAAATGAACCTTCTAGGTATATACGGTTCAGGGTAGTAAGGTTCTTCCTTATGTACCTCGTCGTTTTCCAATCCTCCGTCCTCATCGCTGTTAGAACAACTGGAATGTGGTAATAATCATACTACTAGTTTATATTCGCTTACTGATGGACCCAGCTCTTACCTGTAATCGTAGTTTCTCCTGACCATGTAACCGTGGACGGGGCAGAGCGCCTTCATGACGCGAATGTTCCCAACGCTGTCGTATTTGCAGAGGCACGGAAGTTCCTCACCTGGAGGAAGGTACCGGCAACTCGCCGCAGTCCCAGCACTTCCTGATGATGTTTCTTCATCATCCGTTTGCTCCTAGAATCAGTAATGAATGGGTATTACGACTTTTAATGCAAGCCCGTGATCCTGCTTAGGCCCATGTCTCAGGCCATCTATCATAAAGGCATTTTCTATCCAAGGGATTTGACGGCCAATGTAGTATTGCCCTTGCAACATGCCAAGCCTGAGCTGGCGACAATATGGGCTATAAGATGGTCGTAACGCGCAGATTCTCTTCCGTGGCCTTTGACCATTTATTAGAGCGCAGGTGTTTTTGACGAGGGGGCAATATAATTACCGTTTAGTATGCTAGCCTATATATACCTGTATCGGAGACGGTAGATCCTCGATCACAATGGACTGCTTTGATTTTGAAGAATGATTGGAGTGCAGAGATAGAATGTCCTGCACGGATAATCGTGTGCTTAGGCTGGCCTTCTGCAGTGCCTGTACAGACGCGCGCGACGCTTTTTTGATCTGATTCAGCGAGGGAGCTGCTCTGCAAGATGCAGATCGTTATCGGAAATGTAATGCACCGATTGACTGATAAGACTTTCAATCCAGGATCATACCATAAAGTAACATAAAGTCAAAGGCTTTCAATCTAGGATTATACCATAAAGTAACTTGAAGTCAATGATGCAACTTACATTGATCCTTTCCTGTTTCTCACGTACGCTTGTGAAGCAAACACTATCAGCGAGAATATCTCAAGTAGACTGACTACAGAGGCACCGATCCACAAACCGGTCAAACCACCGAGATCGGCAAGCACGCTTGTAAGCTAGAACATGGTTATGGGGTATGCTCTACAGATTGAAACTCTTACTGTATAGGCTGGTGTTTCCTGCAGTGTTTCGTAATTCAACTCTTCGTAGAATATCTGGATCATGGCAGCGTTTTTGCGGTATTTCTCTAGGCAAAGGTAGTCGCCAGGATTGCAATCCATGACTTTTGCAGAGCCGGACGGCCATCTTGCTGCGGAATAGGTTACTTCGTAGTTAGTCTCCCTAAAATTTTAAAAATATCAATGCAGAAAAGAATAAAGAATAGAGAATAAAAAGGGGGAATTATTTTCCCGAATGAGGAAGTCCTGTCAGTAACCATTTGTGATTTTCAATCTTAACTTTTACTATTAGTTTCAAACTTTGCTCAACTTACTTGCATGGTTGGTGACAGTAGCAGCCGGGAATGCCATCTTTATCTTTGGTGTAAACTTCACTGAGATAGAGTGTTGCATTCCTCAAACAATCACGTTCTTCTGCGTTTGTAGCGTGACATCCTCTCATTCCCGTGCTGTGGGGAATCGGAAACATTGGATCTCCACACTTGCACATCTCCATGATAACTTTCTGCGCACAGCTTCGGTGACAAGCCTAGGTAAAAGTTCCAAATTTGCTAGGTAGTTGTGAGCTAGTAGCATATTCTTTGACAATAGATCGGAGAGTTTTCTTACCTCAACGGAGTAGTTGAATCCTTTATAGATAAAATTTGGGTCATCTTCTCCCCCTTCTTTGCAATGTCCATGCGGCGCGGTCAATCGGATAAATTGTTTCTGGAAATTAGTCAGTATAAGCGAAGGGATGTTACACTATCAGTGAACTTACCATTCTGACACCGTAGGATGACATAAAACCAGTCGGTGCGCTGTAGCCAAAAGCATCCGGAAATGGTACTATATGCTTGTCATGCACTGTGATTCGGAAGCCTACTGACTCGGACGTTGGTAAGTATTCGCTCACATTCGCATACAGTAGAATTCGTAATCCTGCAGCCAGTTGGTTTTTATGAACCTGTCGCGTGAAACTTTTACATTACCGTAATTTGCACCAGCTCGATGAGATGAAGCTCCGCCATGATTGAAAGTGTAACAGTTCCCGTACGTATTATCGTAGTACAAAGTGAAGTCCCTTAATTGCGACATTGGAAAAGCTAGAACGGCTGTAAAGGTCACGAATTGCATTGAAAGCATTTCCAATCGATCTCCCATTTTTAGGAACCCGACTATTTATGTCAGTGGATGTCTGATAGAGAAGGGCGGGGTTTTTCTTTCAGGGATATAAGATTATGTAGTAGAAAGTTTTCAAGTAGCTATTTAGAACAGAAGGTGTAGCTCTATATAGGCATTCTTTGAAAGCAGTGTTCAGAAAAATTTGGGCATCGGACTTTTTATGTGGGTAATGTCTGGGGAAAGTAGTAAGCTGCTACGGAAGAAGCAGCTCTCAGTCCATCTGTGGCAGAAAAACTCATGTGAAGTGCCATCCAGCACCGTACTTGACAGCACCGAGTCACTTGGAAGGGGTACTGTAATACGAGCGGTTTGAAAATGAATATAGTTTTCGTAAGCGAAACATACGAGCTGCCGCTTAGGACTAGTTTGAATGGGGCTATACAAAAAAGACAAAAACTGTAAATTCAATGTGATCAGGACTCACTTCTCCATGTCGCAATCTTTTTGGTTGAATGAGCATTTGAGAACGAGTTCATCCAGTGGATGTGACATAGTTTCCTTCTGCTGTGGTGTCATAGATCCAACAGCAAACATGAGATTTTGCTGTGCTTGTGTTACTATTGCTATCTCGTCGGTGAGGTTCTAAAATAATGTAATCGTGCCCAACTTTACATCTTTCGCTCAACATTTTACCTCGTATCCGAGGGCTTGCGTGACTTGCGGAGCTTCTGTAGTCGTTGTTGTCGTGGTTTTCTCTTGCGTTTTTATTAGCTGAGCTTCACTACGTGCAGTGATATTGAGGGTATCAAGCTCATCACTCGGACTGATTTCAATGATCACACCATCTTCACGAGAAGCAACGCAGTGATTGTACTCTTTGTGGCAGAGGCAGAGGTCTACTTCCTCTTTTATGTCTTCGTACTTTTGATTTCCGCGGTAGAAACGCATGGGACAGTGTCCTGTTCCATCAACACATTCTATGCAAAGCTTTTCCTTCCAAGTATTGTCTGAAAATGCCGTGCTCAACTTAAAATTCATTAGGTGAATGCTTGAACTGAACTCACATGGGAAACAAGGCCAAAGGGTTTTTGAGACCATATCGAGATCACAAAGACATCTAGACGCATGCAAGCTCCTTGGTGAAAGTGAAACGTCAACTGAGATCTTTCCTTTGAAGGCGGCAAAACAAGAGCCTTTTCGATCCGCTGTTAGCGGATCAATGTCGCATAAACATTCAGCAATCGCTTGATGATATCGTCGTTCATATTTTCGTCTTCTCGATTTGCGTTTTTGCCGTCGCACTTAATTCAAGAACGTCACCTCAGCTCAAAATCTTTGTTTGTGTGGCAATAGTCGCTCTCAGCTCATCGCTGCCATACATTTTTGTCATGTGCGGCTGTCTCACTAGTGTACTAGACGTCGTTGTTAGACAGGATTTTGACAAATAACTTGATGTTGAACTGAGACAACTACATTCCTCAATAACATTCTCTTAACACCCGATATACGACTTTAAATCAAAAAGATATGGCTCAAGTGATGTCACGAGATGCATTGCATCTTTTTCGCACTCTAGCAAAACAGGATAAGTGATAGTTGATTTTGCGTACGCAAAAACGAAGTGGTTTGCTCGCTATCATTTTGATGTTGAGATTCAATACGGTTTTGAAAGAAGTACTTAGTGTGCTTTTTCATCGTTCTTTGGTATGCAGAGTGCATAAAACTTTTAGTATTTAGTTTCTCTTCACTCAAGGTGTAATAACACTCAAAGGCGAGTTAGTAACCTTTGATTCAACTGGCTTGGCACCATTAGGGCGGGGTTTTGTGATCTAATTGAGGCCGCTCGCGCCCGCGACGCACCTGCGCCTCTCTCGCGCGAGTGCTCTCTAATCATTACCTAGTCTTAATTAGGTCACAAAGCCCCGCCTCTGTCGATGCCAAGCCAGTTGAATCAAATGGTATTTTGTATTTTCCGTTATCAACCAACAAATGAAGATTTATGGATGAAAGCGCAGCGAGCAGACCTTTAATAAGGGTAGGGTAAAAAACGTGGTGCTTTGTGAAGTATAATAAATATCGCCTATATCCTCTCTGCACTTGAATTTGAATGTGTAGTCCAAATTTGCCAAAGGATCACAATGAAGGAGTTATAAGGATAGTAAAGAAATTTCTGCCATTTTTTTAATGGCGGAAATCCAGATATTTGAAGGTACCCGGCAGGTTGCCAGAAGAAATCTTCAAAAATCATTTAGAATAGCCGTTTAGCTGGTTTGTACAAATTCTAGATCACGTCCACAAACTTATGGGCGATTATTTCTTCACTAACTGCCACTACAGTTTTACATCATTCTTTTTGTAAGCTCTCCAAATGAGGTTTATCTTAGGTAGGTGAGCTCCCAGCACAAGAAGGGGAATTACTTTTGGGAGAAGTTTCAGTTTTTGAGCATGCTCTTAACTTTATCAGGCATCTCAGGCAACAAAAAAATTTAGTCAAACAACTTCTGACTGTTTCGACTTGTGGTGTAAAGGTTGTAGCGAGTAGCAGGATTATTCAACTGCGATCAGAAACACAATATATGGTCGGTCAGATACGGATCAAAGTTTTTGGGGTAAACGCATCGGGTCAAGAAAAATGCTCAAAATTCTTCAGTGGATTGTGATTCACTGAGAGCGCGGTTTTTAACAGATAGCGTGTCCATATTGTCCTAACAACCAAAATAAGATTCGGTTCAATAAAAAATAAAGCATCATCGTGGGTTTGTTCGTGAAAATTGTGAAAATCGCGCGGAACATCTGGTCGACGATTGGGAGTGCGTCAAACTCTCCCATACATTTTGCAATAAACATAGACTTTCAGCAGAGTAAGAAGCCAAAAATAACGGTGGTTTTATGACCTGAAGACAAAGCTTGCCGCAGCATTTTATTTTGGCTTAGCTGAGCTAGCAAAGACAGTATGGTTTCGAAGCAGTATAGGAAAGAAACGGAGTACAGAGAAAGCTGAATTTGTGATTAACGATAGAGCATTTGATATCAGTGATGTTATTGCAAAAAACTGGATCAAATTTTTTTTTATAAAAGGACGCCATTAGAGGAGGAAGTCAGGTAGAATGAACATAGAAGTTTTCGCATAACGGCACTATAACAGAAGTATGAATAGAGAAATACTCACCTTTCGTATGCAAATGTGTTGCCAAAGCAGCAGCTACGCCTTCTGTCCTATCAGTAGATATTCGTTTAGAGTATGCATCTATCTGCAAAACTTTACTTTTTCTGGCTCAAGTATTCAAAGCATTTGAAGATGTCACTCACCATCGCCTTTGTTTCCGGATTTTGATTGATTGCGCTTTTCTTGTAGGGGTTCAAATTACACAACGTAATAGAAGGGAATGGAGCATTTTCAAATTTCAACTAAAAGGATATACGGTAGTTTTGGTTCCTCAGCGGAAGGAATAAAAGGTAAACTTACATCGAGATCAACAGTCTTTGCATATTGTAGATACTTTATCACAAGAAAGAATATTTGTACAGCTAGGCACAAGAAACACAGCCAAAATGCTGTGTACCAAAAGATTCTCCACCGTTTATTTGGTGCGAGGGCAGCATGACTTATGCCATGAAATGTACTTTGCCTTTCGAAACGATGTCGGATTTCTTTGTAGTTAAGATGTCCTGGTACCCGTATTTTAGTAAGCCCTGAAATGCGTCGTTATTAACACACGATAAAGATTCTGCCAACTCTTTAAGAACACCTAGTTGACAAGGTTTTCAAGATTTCAGGCAGATTTTTTGCGAGTCTGATTCGCCACCTACAACATACCACGAAATTTGTGAATCACACAGTTAATCTTGATTAGAAGTTTTTTTCCTCTTACTGTAAAGATTATTTCTTAGCAGGATATAAGGTTTCTTGCTCTTATTTTTCAGTTTCAGTCATGCGAAAATACCGAAAAATTTCAGTTGTAGCGGGGACTTATGATTCACTTCTTTTCACGAATAGGAAGGCAAATCATGTTGCGGCGCTTCATATGGAACTAACAGGGAGAGGATACCTAGTCGAAAGCATCATTTAAATGAAACATATATCACTTTGAAGCGCTTGAAACGCTGATTCCAAATCTATAGTTTCTAGCTGCGGAACGGTTTTGTAGAAGGAGGTATGAGGGTGTTCCCCTCTGGGGTTGAGGCGCCCTCCAGCAGATCTCCCCTTATCCATGAGCACTGTAGAGGAGTACCAACTGGTGGCAACTGGCCTAGTGGTAAGTGACTTGCTTGATAGGGAAAATATCAATATTTTAATCCCTTCGCATGCAACTTTATCGCAATTTTTGCAAAATTGAGCTTCTAAACTTTGGAGCCCTAAAACCTGACATTTCTGATGATAATGAGGCTAATCAAAGTTACAAGTGTTAAAAAAACCAAAGTAATATGAGTATTATAATCCTTATACTTACCATTACACCATTTTATGTTTCTATAATGCTCGTAGACAACAGCAATCTGAAGGACGCCTTAACCCCAAAGGGAAACACCCCTTATTATTCTTTCTACAAAATCGTTCCGCAGCTAAAAACTATAGATTTGGAATCAGCGTTTTAAGCGCTTTCAAAGGTGTATGTCTCCTTTGGATTGGTGCTTTCGACTAAGTATCCTGTCCTTGTAAGTTTTTATACTGAATTATCAAAATCATTGCTACAATATAGCTGTGGTATGGGTCCTCTAGGTTCATCGTTGCCGAATTTGGCGTTAGCTTGATAAGAACCATGTAAATACCAAAGATTTCAAAAAACGTTGTTTTGACCACTTTTTTGCAAAAAGTGGTGGCGATTTTGGAACCACTGAGCGTTATAAGCAGGATGAACAAGGACCACATATAGACCGTTTTTTGAAACGCGATGGTAAAAAGTTAGAGAAAGCATATTATGTGTTAACATTTAAGCATACAAATATTGGGAAAATTTGGTTCTACAAGCGATATTTGATGGGACATTGTTATATCAGATTTCCGAAAAGAACGAAAGAGGGACTTGATTGGGGGCTTAGGTAGATTTATTGCGGCGAACGAAATGCCCGCCTTCTCATTGATTCCTTATGTGGATAGCGAAGACTGTAGCACTAAACATGATACGAAAAGTCTTAGCTATAGCTTTCAGTCGCAACATCTATCGATTTGAGAGCGCTGCCAATCAAAATCAAAGGGTGCGAAGGCTCAATCTTTTTCTTTTTTTTCGGTGAAAGCATGCAAGACCTCCGACGGCTCTAGCGCATCTTAATCGATCATCGAGCAGTATTCAGCGTTTTCGCTAAGACAGAAACCCAATATCTCAAGCAATATCTATAGTCATTCAGAGGAATCGATAAGAACTCTGGCTGTTAAAGTCCACGTCTTCGTTAGTACAGCTTTTTAAAAAATCTTGGTCGGTAGTAAACCTATCGAAACTCAAAGTTATAACTCAGAGTTAACTCTGAGTTATCTCTGAGCTTACGCGCAACTTTTTGACTCCTTTAACAGATGTTTGAACAAATCAAATCCGGGAAGCGATGATATGGCAGGATTCTCCTTAACACGTAGTTTATTCCTAGTAGCGCAACATTGTCCAAATCGTCCTGCACAAGAAACAGCGCCACCAAACGCGCAACTAATGTCTGCGATAACTCTGAGTTTGATGCGCGTTCCAGTCTATCGTGGAACTCAGAGATAACTCTGAGTTTGGTCAGAGAAAGAGAAATAGTGCGCAAAAGAAGAGGGGCAGCTAAAAAGTCCTCCGGGGTACATTTTGCTCGGAGTTTAAGCAGGCATGATGGGGGTATCGTGATGCGCAGTGATTTGCAAGATTTTGAAATTTTGTAAAAACTTGGCCCAGGGGGTTATTCGGTGCGCTGGTCACGCTATGGAACCCATTTTTCACTATGGGGTCATGTAGAGGTGTTACGGTAGGGTTACGGTAGATGGGAGAAAATCACGAAACTGATCGAAACTTAGTACACTGGGGTTATTCGGGGCGCCGATAACGAATATGTCATGTAAATTGTACTGCAGTGTCATCTGAAGGGGTTACGGTAGGTTTACCGTAAATAGGAGAAAATCACGAAACTGATCGAAACTTGGTACATTGGGGTTATTCGGGGCGCCGATAACGAATATGACATGCAGATTATACTGTGGTGTCATCTGACGAGGTTACGGTAGGTATACGGTAAGTAAGACGAAATCATGGAAGGGCAAACTTTGCCCGGAGGATTTATTCTGTGCGCAAATCCTAATAGTTAATTCTTATCATTGCGTATGCCATCCGCTTTCTCTATTGCTTGAAGCTTTCAGCTGCGCAAAAGACCAATCCTCGTGATGAACCATCACTGTCCAATAGAAATGGAAATGAGTGAGGCTTTGGTAAAACTTGTTTTGACCTGCTAAGTGTTAATGGAATGAGTGAGTACATTACGGCAAAGCAATTCTAGGGTTCATGGGTGTGTCATGGTCTAGCGGTTTAGTGATAGGATCTTTACGCTAGACCATACAGGTTCGAGTTCCTACTTTAACGCCACTTTTGCAGCAAAGTCTTAACAGCTCCTCAAAGCAAAACTCCGAGCTTGAGAGTTGGAATTCGGAATTATGAAAGCGGAACTCAAAGTTTCAATAAGCGTAACTCAGAGTTTCAAAAACGGAACTCAGAGTTATCTCTGAGTTAACGCAGAACTTCAAACTCGGAGTTTTGACCAGATTACTACCGACCCTTGTTTTTCGTCTTACTAGCATAAATCTTCATCAAATGAAATTTATCTAATCTTGCTAGACACTTGCAAAGGTCGCGCTTACTTTTGACGAATAACCTCAGCTCGGAACTATATAATAGTATGTAATGGATTTTTTCACTCTGTTAGTATCCAATAAATCGCTGCGACACTTCGAGCTCATAAACTTTCGCAGTTTTTTGAAATTTCCACAAACTGCGAAACAAACTCAAAGAGGAAAGTATAGCAACTCAAGTTGGCGATCGAAGACGTTATGTGTATCACCAGACGCACCTTTTTACCTTGATATCAATCTGTTTTGCATTCTTTGCGCAACGCCTGTCCGGAAAAAGTTATGAGCGTTTGAAACTCCAGATTTTGCTAAGCCTTTCTTGGCATAAAATTAGCGAAAAGCTTTACAAAAACACTGAAAGTGATTGATTATTTGTTTGATCAAGTACACTAGTATAAGAAATAGATACAGCCAGTATCACATAGGTGTTTTGTAGAGCTTTTCGCTAATTTTATGCCACTCAGAGTTGACAAATTTGGACATCCAAACGCTCATAACCAAGGGATTGCGCCGCAGAAAAGAAAAGCAATTAGGAGTCAGCATTTGAAGACGCATTCGTTAAGCTCTTGTCTTCAATCGCCAAGTTAGGTTGGTATCCATCCCTTGTAAGATGCAATTTGTCATGAATCAATTCTGGTGTATCAGAAAAAAACACCATGATTTTATGGACGTAGACTGATATCTGGATCAGAGTAGAGTATCATAAATGCGGAATTGGAACAGTTTTTTCCATTGAATCATAACAATAAATGAGATATCATGTCAAAACTTTCTTTAAAAGCTGCTTTCTGGTCATGGACGATAATTATCACTGGCTTGCCTTTTGCTTTGAATGATGAATCGTGATTTTGCGCAGTTGAATTGGCTTTCATATGAGCGATGTATGAATAGATATGATATGAAACATCAACTGTAGAAGAGGCGAGTTGCCGAGGGTGCTGAGAGCATTATATGCTTTTGTTGTAAACAGCGAAGTGGTAGGGAAGGTGATCAGCAGATCGATGGAGATGAAAAGTGGGAAGTTTTTCCGAGCAACAAAAAGTAGGCTGTGCAAGGACCAACCCGAAGGCTTTTTTTCCGCGCTTTATGTCATGAGAAAATGAGCCAGGCAGAAGTCAAGTTGTAATAGCTGGCCAAAAGTCAACAGAAGCTTCATAATGTTGAAAAATGGATGAACAGTTAATGAAAGTGAAAAATAGAAAACGAAGCAACAAAACAGAATTGAACGAACCTATTGGTTTGATAGACATCCTTCGTCGTACATTTTGCCATTTACTGGTGTCTGCAAGTGATAGGTGATGAGTACGATGGGGATGCTCGTGATCTATGAGATCTGTATCAAGGAATCTGATATTTTTGCTATCTTCAGACGTTTGTCGGGTGCCAGCAAATGAAGATTTGTGGATATCGCCACTTGGCTGCTCCTGCGATGGATTTCTTGTCTGAGCGAATGGGAGGGGTTCCACATGTGCATCCATCATCTGGGGAAAAAACTACAGTGAAGGGCACGGAGAACGGCAGTGTTAATTTGTTACTCAGTCAGAGGCATTGGCGCCACTTCTGCCGTGGTGCCTTTCTCCGCTGCTCGATGCACCACCTGTGTAGGAATATTCAGGTGTTGCGTAATTGTTCAATTTCGTCTTTGTACGATGCAAATTCAGCTAGGGTATCTCAGCTCTATAGTCATCGAAGATCGTCTGAAACTAATCTGAATTAATTCAAACTAAGCGATTCGAGTATTGATCGAAAATTAACTAGCAGTGCAGAGAAGCAGCCACAAATCAGTTGCGACCACAGGCACTAGCGCCCGGGGCGAAGCGCCTGCTGTCCGACAACGTTGTATGACTAGCTTATAAACAGCAGGTGGAATGGGTTGTAGATCTAGTTGGAACTGATTTACATAAATTTGAACGGAATCCTGTGCAGTTGCACATGATCCCATCCCAGCGATGTCAATGAAATGATTGACTCTCTTCACACCCGCTTCCGTTGAACCTCTTCGCTGCTTCTCATTACACTTTATTACAAAATACGCGCTACGCAAGCTATCATATCTGAGCATGAGAACTTACCAGGTGTTCTCTTCACTTTGTTATGTGGCCCTCTACTGTCCCATAAACATAAACACAGCAATAAAAGAAGCATTTTCTGTGAATCTAGTGAGAATTTAGCTTTGCAAGTAACTTATTGAAAACATCTGCACCTCTTGCATCTTTCATCACCTGTAGCTGTTCTGCGGGTTCGCCATGCAAATATTTTCAGAGCGCCTTAACGCCAGGAGGAAAGAACGATGTCTTGGCCGACCTTGGAGTCACCCCTCAAACAACCTCGCCTCAGCACGCCCTTTTTGCCACACTCTATGTTGGGGAGTCACCGTTCGGCTTGTATGCTATGGATGTCCTGGTGGACAAGCACACTATCACCTATGCTCCGAAGTATCTTGGACCACCATTGCTTGAAGGACCGAGCCCAATAGCACTTTCGGCAAGTTTTTTTTTTACAAAGTTTACCGCTACCCAAACCTTCAAACCTGGCGCGCAAACTCGTTTTTGGCCAGTAATGCTCCGAATGTTTGTCGTTTGGTGTTCAGGCTGCTTCTTCTTCTTCCTAAGTTGACAGCAGAATCTAAAGGCTAGATCTGATATCCATTTTGGGTATCAAGAGTCAACGACCTGTTTCGTTATTATTACTGTAGGATCACGGTAGATAGTGTTTAGTTTGCCATCTACTAATCGTTGACTCATGGCACTTTATACTAGCGCAAAGATCCCATCTTTTGTAGCCCATGCTCTTTTAGTTGTACTAGCAGGGCATAAGAAGCGTGGTAAAAATCGTATCTGTTAAAGGGTTTCAACAATCAATCTTATTTTTGAGGAAATCTTCGATGTCTTGAGTTAGTTTCCCCGATTTAATCTTCTCAAGCTCAGAAAGCTGTAGGTTATCGGTCTAAAGACTCATAGTGGGTATGATGTGATTCTTACGTCAGATAATCGTTGACTAAAATCTAAAGTTTATTTGGTCCTGAGAAGTTCTCCTTTGACCGTCTCACACTTCATTGTGCGGTTTTGCCCAGTCGTAAAGTGCTTACTGTATCAGCTAGATCCCATCACTTTGATCTTGTGGTAAACGAATAAATCAAATCGTTTGTTTTCAAATGAAAAGTCCTTACATTTATTTTTAAGACATTCCCGTACAAACCACATGTCTGGGTATTTGTTTTTCTTCAGTCTACAGCGTGTGAGCTGACGAAAAGTAAATACGGCTTGGGAAAATGTTTTTGACCATGACTCACTGGGATTTGACTTTTCTAGGGGAAAAAGGCTGAATGTGAGACAGCGATTGGGTTAGGGTTGTATGGCCTAGACCATCGAACAAAAATTTGGGAGAAGGTGTTCCACATCACTGCGCTAGAACATCCTATTTAGCCAAATTTGCTGCGTTTGCTCTTCAAGAGTACTATCGAGACGAGTAGAGGTACCCCAATCATCTAATCTGAAGCTTCATCTCAGCTTGTCACAGGCATATAATTCATCCAAACCGTGAAATGCAACTCTGAACTCCAACCCTGACCGCACACTTGCCGAGACTGCGTCCTCGAGTACGGTGGCAGTACGGTGAGGTCTGGAGCTCAGAATTGAGTTTCTCTGCCAGAAATGATCCACATGAGCTGCCGCTTGGCCTGATATAGATACCTTCCATTGTCTACATGAAAGCCTAGTACTTAGGTAGCCTGAACAATGTATTGAGTAGTCTATATTTTTTCTCTCCTAACTGTCATGCTATTGCAGGAAGAAGAAAAAGCGCAGTTCGTTCCAAGTTCAAGACCCGTGATCTCGATTGACATCCCGGCAATCACGCATAAAACAACCGATGGAGTATTTCTGTTGTTGGGTGAGTTGCTGTTGTTTTTTTTTCTTCTGTTGAGTGCTCTCAAACTTTCGACCACTCGGCCTAATGGGGCCATCTGTTAACACATGCGTTGCTTATTAACTACCACATTTATCAGTTCTTTGACTAGCTTTACACATAGGCAAGAGGCATCTTCTTCTAAATGACGTAGACTCTGACTCGAGAAAGATCAGTAGAACTAACATTTAATGGTTGAATTGTTTAGGGTATCATGAAAAACCTCAAGTGGATCTGAGCGCTATTTTGCCAATCCGTTTTAGCAACACGCCATCATTTCCGCCGATTGTGTACAAGCCGGACGTCAAAGACATGAAACAGGCGCGTTTCCTGTTCCTGCACATTTATTCGTTGATTTATGCTTAACTGAAAAAATTTAGATCACCGACCATTCAACGCAAACATTTGAATCGTCGCTATCCGGAATGTTGCTTGAAATCTATTTACGTCATCCTACAGCTTTCGCTACAGCTGTTTTCACTCTTCTAGCGTTGGCGATCACTGTTGTCTGGCTGTGCGGGAAACAAGTGCGTTTACGAGTATCATTTGACTTGAGAATCCCTTTTTGGTTCGAAGCGATGGATGAGTCAGTTTCCATGTGTATGCGTAGGAAAATGTTTAAGGCTGTGAAGTTCTGCAAAGTTTTGTCCAGCTCTACTTTTTTTTGTAAGGGGACACACTATTGAATGGCTTGCGACGTAATTTATGGTTTTAGTGGGAGCAAAGTGTGACTGGTAACATCTCATAAGATACCTGCGGGATATCGTTTGGAACACGGCGACGCTAGGTGTAAGACGATACCCAGCGGGTGAACGGCTTGCACTTGAGTTACACAAAACTTCCGTGTAGATTATACAACTTACAAAGCTCAGGACATAGACGATTTGTACGTGCACTCTTCAAAGTGAGTCCGTGCCCATGTCTTTGGGCTTTCTGTGCACTTTCGGGACGTTGTTTTCAAGCATTTCAATATAAGCGGTGAATATCGGAAGTAGAGGAGTCTAGCATTTTCGTAAGGAAACCCTGAGAGAGGTAGAGGTGCTGAGAAACTTTGTGTGCTATCACTCTCTAAAGGAGGATGAATGCAAAGAACACGTCTAAGGACAGGGACAGTGGATCCGATCGTCGAGATTGAGCGGTTATTGTGAAAGGCGCATCTTTGTCCACTTTGAGCTAGGCATAGAGGCGAAATAAATTCATTGAAAATGCTTTCCTCCATAGGAACAAAGATTCGGGTTGGTGGGCGCCCGCCTTGACTCATGCAGGGGATCGGTTATTTTTTAAACGCAGTGGATCGGGAAAATTGCAAGCTCGCGGTTTCTGTTTCTCTTTGACCTTCTGGATGCGTTTAAACCAAAGCTGTGCATGAAAAATCAAAAAAGTGCTTTTTATGGCGTTCTTCGGCCTAGAGATTGCTGAGGAGGCTGGAGCGGAGATTTCCGCTAAAAACAATGACTGGCAGCAGGGGACTGTGACGCCACTCATTTTGGCGGCTATTGGCCGATTGGCCCAGGCAGCCGATCGCGACTCGGCTGCGGGAATCTCTGCTCCAGCCTCCTCAGCAATCTCCAGGAACGGAGAACGCCATAAAAAAAATCTTTTTGACTTTTCAAGCACAGCGTTGGTCTAATCGCATCCAGAAGGCCAAGGAGGAACAGAAAGCGCGCAGTTGCTGCTTTCCCACTGCCTTTAAAGGGGTGCCTGCCTGATCTTACAAGCTTCGATTTCTTGTTTGCAATTAGGTCTCTGGAGATCGGCAGGAGCAGGAAAAAAAATAACAGGAACAGTACTCATTATAACGTGAAAGAGGTCGTTTGCTAATAGGTGACGGAAATACCCGTCTGTGGAAACTTGGCTAAAAACAACTGTAATTATCACGGTAGCTTGCATCATCGTGTGAGCGTATGGTATAATATCATCTTCCAGTATATCTTGCTGAATAGTACTGCAATTACCCTAAACTAATTTTGGTAATTGAGGCGATACAACTATCAAAAATCAATGGAAGAAATTCGAGAAGGTAGGAATAGTACATGCGCGTTCTGTTTGTTCAGTGTCGCCTGCTTTTTTTTTGCAGAAGCTTTCGCAACTTGTAGTTAGGGAAGCAGACGGGAAATGAGGGATCGGAATTTTTGGAAGTTTTTTGAATACTGATCAGGGGTTTGATGGTGGAAAAACTGAATGTCGTCTGGGTCGCTCATGATTTTAGTTCCATGAGAAATCTGGCGTATGAAGTGCGCGCTAAATAAATTTTTTTGGACTAATAGTGGGATAGGAAGGGGATAGTAAACCGAAAAGATTCATCCTGTGTTCCGTAGGAGGCATCATTTTGTTAACTTCAAAGCAAATGTTAGCGCGTCAATCATATTGATTGTGAGTGCTGACTGATAGCAGAAGAACGGATATTCATCTCAAAGTGTCAAAATTACTCAAACATGCAAGCAGTTTGGAATGTGATAGCACATCAGCCGGGTTGTCTTTTTTGATTTTGCTGCTGTCTTTCGTTTACTTCAGTACCTAGCTGCAATTTTATTGGAGCAATTATCTCACGAAAATTGAGATGGATTTGCGACAAAGGGCTCGCTGTGTAATATATGCACACTATGCAAGCGGGAAACCCGTGCAAGTGGTTTAATATTCGTGAGAGTGCAGTTTTGAATGAAATCGACAGCAGCCAGCAGATCTTGAGGCGGGGAATTAAAAAAAAATGAAAAGTGGACTTTTGTATATCTTTGATGCCATCACTACTTGCTTTGTCTTAAATTTCGTAGTCACTCGTAGCAATAAATCGGATCGGCGCATCTCTCGAATATTTATGGCTTGTATCATGTTCCTCAAAGATCTGAGCACTTGCTCGATAAATGGCGCAGTGACTACGAAGCACTAATGTGCAAAAAAATTTTGCACAAAGGATAAAAAACTGTGTGGTATTGTAATTCAAATGAATTCGTTTTCAGTCTGGAGTCGCTTTGATAGCTGGAGAAGTCCGCAGTGCGCAGACATCCCGACAATCAAATTCTGGATTGAGTTGGGTGTCTGGAAATGAGGAGGTTAGTGTTATACTAGGTTGAGCCATAATTGTACATGCAAAAGTTTCTTGAAAACAAAAACTATGGGACAGCAGTATGTCTAGAAATTCTCTTTCAGTATTCAATGGTACATCGAACTAGCTAACCTTTGATTCAACTGGCTTGGCGTTTAAAAGGCGGGGCTTTGTGACCTAATTAAGGGCGCCTGCTACGCAATCTGCGTTCCTTCCGCGCGCATGCTTTCTGATCATCACCGAGGCTTAATTAGGTCACGGAGCCCCGCCTTCCAGCCGCAAATAGTTGAATCAAAGAATATCTATTTTCTGCCTGAAGCAAATTTTCATCTGACTAGCCGAAGTGGCGTTCTTTGAGATTCTATACAAAATGACGGTGAGAGGTCTAGCTGCAGCAAGTCCATACATCATGACACTTCATGAGAGTGAGGTCCTCGTGGCACTCATCTTATATATAAAGCTGAATGTCTGTCTGTATGTATGTCTGTCTGTCTGTCTGTCTGTACGTATGTGCGGAATAGAAATTTTTATTTCTGAACCGATCGGGACCAAACTTGGCACACATATACTTCGGGGCAGGGAGCGTGTCATAGGCTACTTTTCGTTATCGATCGATATGGACTATGACACGCTCCCTGCCCCGAAGTGTATGTGTGCAAAGTTTGGTCCCGGGCGGAGCCGGGTTTGCCATCTAGTCTATCATAAAAACCTTACTGTCCTAAATTGAGAAGAATTTCACAATAGTTTTTGAGAGAATATCTCTTGTTTTGTTCAGTGATTGAGGGGGAGACGCTACGATTGACCAAGTAATGTGGGAAAACTCGCGACCCAGATTTGTTCCCTGGGATGATTAGCTTTTAGTTTGCTAGCATGAATTCAGTGTAGGTGATTACACTGGGAATAGAAGGGCGCGTTGCGAAAGCTGTGATCTCAGCTGCTTTTCTTGTTTCGCGATTTTCGAAACTAGCATGACTCGGAAATAGCTCAATTTGAGACAGTGTGCGATTTCGTGAGCTGTTCTCGGCTTTATGATCGGCGTAATGGCTCATTTGTGCGTCGTTGGTTTTTTGTGTGCGTTAACAAAGAATGAGCATAGAATTTATTGCATCTGTAATTTGAAAATGTCGGTGCTCGCTTTTTATTGTTGAAGTTACTGACAATAACACAATCTCATCTAAGCTAAACGAGCATTGATGTAAGCAAGAAACAGCTCGCAACACATTTGAAAAAATATCGCTCTATCTTGAAAAGAAGGTTCTTGAATGTTTTTTTTACGAACTTAATCGGTCGATTCAATACTATGGCTGCATGTTTTGTAGGAAATCGGTATTGTAAGCTGATCCCAAAAGAAACTGGAAACCAAAATCTGATAAAGATTGTCGCCAAAATTTGGAACTTCAATTTATGCAAGTACCGTGGATCTTTCATATGCTCATTATGTTTAGCGCACATATGTATACGACACCCTATTTATTTCTGCTTCAGTTTTTTCTTTTGAAAAAAGAAAGAAATAGAAAACGAGGAACCAAGAGTTGCAAACTCCACTGCTATCGAACTAATGACCGCTCAGCTGCTGGCTTATGCTGCATACCTACGATTGACAGTTTTTCACAGGTCTATATTAGAATCTGAAGACTTTTTTTTTAATCAAATATAGGGGTCCCGAAAAATGTATATGCTGTTGGTTTGTCAACTCTCTTGTCGAAATCTTTAGAGAAGCTGTAGGCAGTATTTTGTAGAGCTAGCTTCAATCTAGATTTGTAGTATAGGGCAATTCACCGATCGCTCTTCATTACTGGGGAAATAGGGTAGGAAGGGTTTTGAGCTAAGACCCATATTTTCCATCAGGAATGAGAACAAAACGTTTCGAAACTTCCCCATCAGCTGAGTGAGCATCAGCTGAGCCCGTCTCAAACTCAGGTACCATGAAAACCCTATCGCCTAAGTTTTCTCATTTTTTAGTTCACTGGAAATCGCAGCTTTTTCATAGTGACCCCGTACGCCGGAAGTTCCTCCGCAAACCTTCAAGATTGAGAAGCCCTTGCTCCACACTGTAAATCTAAGTTGAAGCCAGCACGAAATATTAGGTTGATGCACAATTCTTGCCACCAAAAAATACAAAAAAAAATATTTTAAAAATGCTCAAACAAACTGTTCAACTTACATGTTTTGCTCTATCTTTTCTATATCAAAAGTAGTATTTTATAGTACATTTTAGAAAATCAAGTTGAAACAAAAGCATCATTTCAAAAAAATCGAAATTTGTAAATATTCGCAGAGACATCCAATCACTACCAACTTCTCTTACTCAAAAAGAGCATGCCATAAAACTTAGACCAAAAATAAATTTAGATTCTCGTACAGACTTCAACGGGCATGTAGGTGTACAACGAAGTGGTACAAGCAAGTGTTATGGTAATCACGGATACGGAACACGTAACAGCGAAGGAGAACGTATTCTGGAGTTCGCCACGGCGCATGACTTGGCACTGGCAAACACATACTTCGTAAAGAAGGATAGTCATCTCATCACGTACGCCAGCGGGAATCGGAAGACACAGATAGACTTCTGGACAGTACGACAAAGTGAGCTTAAGTATGTGAAGAACACCAAGGTCATACCCGGAGAAGACTGCATACCACAACATCGACCACTAATTCTGGATCTGAATATTCCAGCCGACAAGCAAAGAAGAACAACAACAGGGCAAGTAGCACGGATCAAATGGTGGAAGCTCAAAGACAAGGACCACATCAGAGCAGCCATGGAATCTGCCCTACCAGAGTTGGAAGAAGAATCAGAAGACTCCTGGAAGAAGTTGAAGAAGAATGTCCATCAGATAGCAAGCAGTCTACTAGGACGTACGAAGCCAGGAAGGGCAAAAATTGACAAAGAAACCTGGTGGTGGAGCGAAGAAGTGCAATCCATGATCAAGAAGAAGAAGACAGCGTACAGAATGTGGCAGAAGCTGAAATCAGAAGATTCACGGCAGAGATACTCAGACGCGAAGCGGGCAGCCAAGAAGAGTGTCAAAGAGGCAAAAGAAGCGTATATGGAGGTACTCTACAAGAAGCTGCACACTCGAGAAGGCGAACGAGACATCTACCGACTCGCGAAAACAACATCAATCGCCACAAGAGATGTAGAGCACTTCTACAGTATCAAGGACGCACACGGGAAAATGCTCAGGAAGCCACAAGAGATAAGAGAAAGATGGAGAGCACACTTCGCCGAGACAGCATCTACAAGCCACGAGTACACAGTGACGTCTACAGCTGAGCCTGTGCATGGACCAGTTCCAACTATCACCGAAAGCGAAGTTCGCGCCGCAATAATGAAGACGAAGAACGGCAAGGCGACAGGCCCCGATGACATCCCCAACGAATTCTGGAAAGCATGTGGTCAAGCTGGAGTTACATGGCTAACACGACTGCTCAATCGGGTGATAGAAGCCAAGAAAATCCCGAACGACTGGTGCAGAAGCGTGACGGTACCAATATGGAAGAACAAAGGTGACGTAGCTGACTGCTCGACGTACCGCCCCATCCGACTTATGTGCCACACCCTGAAGATCTTCGAAAGAATTCTAGAAGCACGACTGCGAAACATCGTGGAGCTAGTCCCTAACCAGTGTGGATTCGTTAAAGGCCGCAGTACAACAGATGCCATCCACGCTGTCAGAATAATGATGGAAAGAAGCAGGGAAAAGCAATGCGAGCTGCACGCGGCGTTCCTGGACTTGGAGAAGGCGTTCGATAAAGTGCCGCATGACATCATATGGTGGTCACTACGAAAACACATGGTGCCGGAAGAATATGTGCGATGGATCAAGATGATATACAAAGATGCCAGAAGCCTCGTACAAACAGCAGCAGGGCCATCAGAAGAATTCCAGATCAACGCCGGAGTTCATCAAGGCTCCGTACTGTCACCCCTCCTCTTCATCACGGTAGTGGATGCGATAGTTAGAGACTTCATACGGCAACCTTCGTGGGCTCTGATGTACGCAGATGATGTGATGCTGATGGCAAGAAGCAGGAACGTACTGGAGGCCGAGGTGCAGAAGTGGAAAAATGAACTTGAGCTGCACGGCTTGAAGATCAACACCAGCAAGACCGAGTACATGGAGGTGGGACCTCAAACGCCTGGAACTATAGAAATCGAAGGCGCCCCAATTAAGAAGACCACGACATTCAAGTATCTAGGAAGTCGCATCGCCGCAGATGGTACGCTTCAGGACGAAATAACCAGCAGAATAAATGCAGCTTGGTCGAAATGGAGAAGTGTCACAGGAGTCCTGTGCGATAAGAAGATGCCACTCAAGCTAAAATCCCAGCTGTATCGCACTACAGTCCGCCCGACTGCTCTGTATGGCAGCGAATGTTGGCCGTGCACGCGAGAAGACGAACGAAGGATTGGTGTGATGAAGACACGCATGCTAAGATGGACAGCGGGAGTCACGATGCTGGACCACGTCACTAACGACACCATACGAGCTACGATGAAGGTCGCCCCTATCGTCAAGAAGATACAAGAGAAGAGATTGCGATGGTATGGACACGTTAGAAGACGAGCGGAAGATCATGTCGCTAAGTTGGTGATGTCAGTCGAAGTACCTGGAAAGAGGCCAAGAGGGAGGCCGAAATTGAGATGGATAGACAAAGTGAAAGCGGACTTGAGAGAACTTGAGATAGAAGAAGATCAAGCTGAAGATCGAGAAGTCTGGAAGAGATTAACCAGAGCAGCAGACCCCCTCTGAGGGAAGACTGCAAGGATAAAAAAAAACATAGATTCTCGTAGACAATTTAGCAATTTTAGTGACTAAAAATCGAAAAATCACTTTTTGGGTAAGGACTTTTGGCTCAAGCACCATCAGAAAGCGCAAGATGTGCTCTCTCTGCTATGTATCGAACCAGAAGATTTCATCGCAGATGGATGAAGTAACAGAATTTTTGAAATTTTGGTGCAAGAATTATGCATCAACCTAATAGTTCCTAGCTTCTCGAGAGACTCCATGGCAAGAGAGCTATTATTGATCAAACACTAGGCACATTTTTCATGCACCCTGTATAGAAATTCATGTGAAAGCGAAGTCAAAATAGTTTGAAAGTTGCGATGTCGCGCTTCTTATCTGGAAATGATATGGAGTTTTAGCAGGTAGTTCGTAGAGATGCATATTTAGGTTCCGGAAGGGTGGATGAAGATAGGAAAGTTGCAGTATAATCCGACAGAAATATTAGGCCGTGGTTGCGAAGGGACCGTTGTTTATAGGTAAATGGTAGTACATTTTTGTTCAAAAATTAATCTATTGCCATTCAGGGGCAAATTTGATGGACGAGATGTTGCAGTGAAACGAGTAGTTTCCGAATTTGTTAGACTTGTCGATCGTGAAGCCGATCTTCTGCGCGAAAGTGATACTCATCCGAATGTGATTCGATACTTTTGTATGGTAAGAATTCATAGTACTGACAGAGTCTAGCGGTCGAATTTGATCTATTTTACAGGAATCGGACAGTCAGTTCCGATACTTAGCGCTGGAATTGTGTGTAGCGTCACTTAACGATTACGTTACGGAAGAAACAATCCGAGAGAAAGTAAGCTGTTGTTCAAGGATGAGGATGAACGTGGATCCAGCCTTTTATGTTCTAGGTGCCTATCTCCTCTACCGAACTTTTGCGTCAAGCTACAGAAGGATTAGCTCATCTGCATATCATGCAAATAGGTGAAATTCTTAAACAGCTTCTTCTCGAATCGAATGACTCACAAACTTTAGTTCACCGTGATATGAAGCCACAGAATGTGCTCTTGTCAACGGCTGGAGCTAGGGGTGTTCGTGCTGTTATATCCGACTTTGGGCTTTGCAAGCGGGTCCAACCTGGCCGTCAATCGCTTTCGAAAAGAAGCGGCCTTGCTGGTACGGATGGATGGATTGCACCTGAAGCCTTGATATGTGAAAGCACGGTCTGTTCTACCTTCATTTAGCAATGCAGGGAAGCGCGAGCGCAAACCATTAGTCAAATTGGAAGCCTCATTCATAAGAAAAATAGGTTATTTGGGAAATGATGTTGCATCACCTCCTACCGGGGGGGGGGGGGGGGGTGACACAGTAGACACGAAAATAATTGAGTAGAGTGCCGATAAAGCAAAAGAAGCTGTACAAGATAGTATACAAGCATTCTCGGGAACTTAGTTCTACCCGGACTTTGCTCTAAAATATAAAAACGTGAAGTACCCAAAAAACCGTATCTCCGTCCATAAAAATCTTGGGCATGTCCAATTTGCGTAATTATGTGCTCTCAACATTACACACTCAAAGTATAGTTCGTGTATCTTCCATGGCAAGAATACGAGAAACAAAAATAGGTGAAAGATGCGGTTAGATTGCAAGAGAAATCTTGGACTGAATTTCGGGAATCTTCTCATCCTACTCTAGCAACTTTTGGTAAATTTCTGGGTCGGACAGCTGAATTTTTTGACCTTTTTATTCAGTTTGTTCCAGAGAAAATTGTATACGTATCGAAAGCATGTGTAAGTAGGACAAGCTATATAAAATAATCGCAGTTTTCCGTTTTTCAAAGGAAATATTTTGCGTATTTTTGGTGCATTGAGAAATTCTTGTGTTCTGACTTATCACTGTCCTAATTTTACGCGTATAAGACGCACCTTTTTCGGTTTCTCAAGCGTGTCGCTCAGCCGTCTCGTTATGTTTCACAAAACGAGACTTATGCAGCACGATACTTTCAGGCAATATGCAGCACGGTAAATAGTTAATTGGTCGCAAAGTCCTTCGGCTTGACTGTGCTGTTTGAAATTTGAAAAAAAATCCCCCGCATCCTATACGCGTGAAATTAGGACACTATGTGCATAGAATATGTACAGTTCGACCGAGCATCAATCATCTGCTGCAAATCAGGAGACTATTTTCTGTGGCATTGCAATGTCCTGTGTTCCAGAGTTTCCCTGTTGACGTTTTTTCTCTTGGCTGCATATTCTACTACGTATTGTCTGATGGAGAACATCCATTTGGCGACAGCCTACACCGACAGACGAATATAATCAATGGAGAATATACTTTGCTCGGAATCAAGCAGGGTTGGGGTCAAACTTATTGGATAAATGTTGAAGAAAGGATCATCTATGAACTGTTCTAGATGTCCCTGTGGCTGTCGCGCTAATCGAGTCAATGATTCAAAGGATTCCAAAATCACGACCATCACTGCAGTGCGTGCTGGCACATCCATTCTTTTGGGAACCTGAACGCAGACTGCAGTTCTTTGGGGTTCGTTAAATTTTTCTGTATCGCGGGAGCTCTGCTCAGATGACAACGCATCAATTTTTCTTATTCAAGGATGTATCTGATAGAATTGAAAAAGAAGAAGATACGAGTATGGTTGCGCGACGACTAGAGCACAACGCTCGAGCTGTAGTGGGTGGAAACTGGAGGAACAATATCTGTGCACCTCTTGCAGCCGGTAAGCTTGTACTGTTGTACTTTTACTATCTATAGATGTCAGTTTAGATCTACGAAAGTTCCGCACTTACAAGGGTCACTCTGTCAGAGACCTCTTACGCGCTATGCGCAATAAAAAACACCATTATCGAGAATTACCGGAAGACGTCCGTGAATCCTTGGGTCTCATTCCTGAGCAGTTCGTATCGTATTTTACATCACGATTTCCACTGGTCAGTATACAGTTTTTCTTGTGCTACTGATAGTGACATATTTTCCCCTTCAGTTACTGCTCCATACGTACGAGGCCATGAAATGGTGTGCGGATGAAGGCGTTTTCAGGTCGTATTACCCGGATGAGGTAAATTTCAAAATTTCTTTTGAACTGTTTCACTATCTGAAATCTATGACTACTGGCTGGACTTAGTTGGGCCAATAAGCCTCACTTTGGAGATGGTACACCACTAAAATCCTCGTCACATGCAAGTGCAGACCAGGATCCCGCACGAGGTGGCATATGAGTAATTCAAAAACGAACTCTTTCTTGATATTGCAAGAAATAACGAGATACCTCTTGTTTGTAAAAGCTCTTACAATAATTTGCAACAAAAAATGGATTGACTTGAAGAAAAGACAAATAGATAAAGATTGAAAAGCGAAGTGCGAAAAAGGCTAGAGTTGAGCTAGGGGCTAGAACTAAAAGCTAGAGTTGAGTTTATTTATATTTTGTCAGGTTTGCGGGTTTGAACTTTACGGGTTCCTCTTTGCTTTCCCCTCAAAAAAAAAACGAACAAAAAAAAAACATCCAGCGTGCGAAAGCGCCACCTCTGTTAAGCCCTGCTCCAAACTGCTGTTTCCTAAATATTATCAAAGAAGGTTCTCAATTAGGGAGCCGATGTCAAGTTTATAGTGAGGAGAACTAAGCGAAAGGCTATGGAAATTGTCATGCAAATTCATCCATAAGCATCGAATGCAAAGGAAAAAGCGGAGAACAACACTGCGTTTTTTGCCCAGCACTCATCGAAGCTCTTCGAGTCTTGAACTAGGTTTCTCATTAGACAACGAATGACAAAAATGCTAATGTTTTTTTTGAGCATCCGTTAGAGAATTCTCTATCTCACAAAATCTTTTAGTAATCTTCCATCTTGTAACGCTTGATTTAGTTTGATTTTCTATCGCTTGTTGTCTACATCGACTATGAATTGACCACAACGGGGCAGAGCTTTCCATATTCAACTTAAGGACATATTCTGTACTCAGGTCCGACTTCGCATGAAAGAAGAAATAGAGAACGATGAGTTGCAAAGAAAACTCGACTCACAGAATATGGAAACTGAATGGGTTCGCGGCCAAGCTGTGAAGCATAAGCCTCCAGCTAAAACCATAGCCTGAATCTTCTAACTAATCTTCTCTGATTGTTGTCATGTCATATTTATTTTCTCATTCTCTCATCGTGCTAGTCCGTTTTGAAAATCGTACACTTTTCCGATATTGTGCAATTCTGTACTTATCGATGTTGCTTTCACGTAAAGTCATCGATGCAGGCAAAGTAGAATTCGCGCCTCAAACGATAGTATAGTTCTAGCTGTCTGCGTCTCATCTGTTTGCCTTCTCTTTCTACTACGAGCGTTTATTTAGACATGCGTGCCGCCGCACTGGACGCGTCTTATGCATTGTCTGCGTCGCTAACTTAGCGAATGCTCTTTTTGCTATCCACTATTTTCCAGCATGCGCTGGTGATCATTTACGCGTTGCAACTGTGATGTTTTTACCTCAGTGCGTTGTTTAGTAGATTGTCGAATAATTTATAATAGTTTGTGAAAGATGTGCGCCAAGCGCAGCTCAGAAGTAACGCTTGTGATGCTCGTCATTTGTATCTCCTCGGGCTCTTCTTGGGATTTTTTTATCAGTTTGTGGCTGTTTGCAGCTTTGTACATAAGTGGTTCCTTACGATTGTACATACTTGTGTCTCGGGTTTGGTTTATATCACGTGTTGCCTCGAAGTAGCAGCCTGAGTATTGTCGCGATTGAAATGTAGCCTAGATATTGTTTGAACAACCAAAGATCTCTTTTATTGTTTTAGTTTGGAATGAAGAGTTATTTGAAGCTTATTTATTGAGAAATCAAAGTGTTCATCAGCGGATGTACGTCACAGTAGATACGTAATGAAGTAGTCTCGGACGAAGGCAGACGCCCATATCAAGATATCGGATGCGAACGCGGCGCGCAAGCGGTCATCGGCCTCCCTGTGTGCAACGCATGCGCTCCGGCAAAAATTGGTGTGCGTGCGCGCTCGCTTCGCGACGACAAACCATCCGCCTTCGTCCGGGACTAGGCTTTACAATCATTTCTGATTCAGAAGGCTAGCGTGGTTTTTATTTCTGTCTTCCAAGTGCTAGATCGGATGGAGGTGGAAGACCGAATTCAGAGCTGAAAAAAAAGTATAGATCACATTTCAAAGTTTCAGGATAGTATGACGGCTAACTAGTACTGTATTGGTTCGGAAGATTGTTGTGCAGTCAAGTCTTGCAGGAATGGATTGGTGGGATGTAAAGCGATTGTTGGTCCCAGTCCAGTGTCAGGGGTTGCAATCAGTGTAGCAGTTCCGGATTCCTCGATGCCAGGAACTGTTTCTGCAGGGATTCTTCCTGATTGGTCAGGTGTTGTACTCTAGAAAAATCTAAAGTAGAGATTTAGTGTAATGAGATAGATTACAATACCTCTCTAGAAAGATCCACAAGTTGTGCCGACTCTGTTTGATCTTGATCTTCCGGAAGCAGAGTCGGTTGCGAAAAAAGGGTGCTGCTGTAATGTAATCATTTGATAAGATTTTCAGAGTCGGGACAGAAGTTTCGTCGCATTTTTTCTTTTTTTTCAAGAAAAAAACCTAAGAATTGCAAATTGTTATGCTCTGAATATATCGAATCACATCGATAAAACGGTCGACATTTCCGAAATGATATCCAGTTTTATTTTCTTGTTTGTTTTTCGAATTTGCTCGTTTCTCCTACTTATCCTGGATTTGTGGCTAAGCCAATACTGAAGAATCACTAGATTCAAGAATCTTATGACCAATAATAAAGTCGTTCATTAATTCCAGAAAGTGGGAAACAGATTGCTCTTGTGTACATGACATGTATACTTTGAAAGTTACATTTCTTAAATCATCAGAAAGGTAGTGGGAAGAGATTATCAGCAAATTACGAGGTTATGCCCTACAGGTTAAATTTAATTACCCTTATATTCACTAGATTGGCGGCTGGAAGGCGGGGCTTTGAGATCTAGTTAAGGCTAGAGAACGATCAGAGAGCACGCGCGCGGGAGAAACGCAGACTGCGTCGCGAGCGAAAACGACCTTAATTAGGTCACAAAGCCCCGCCTTTCAGCCGCCAATCCAGTTGATAAAAAGATTATTTACTTGGTAGAATTATCAGTGATTGTCAGGATCTTAGCGGTGGCATTCCGTGGCCTTTTTTAAAAAAGCCAAAAGCATATAGAGAACTCCAGTCTTTGATATATTGATAAGACGTCTGTTTTTGAATCAATCACATTGAAAAGAAAAACAAGATTCGCCAAGTTTTGATAGGAAGTATCTGGTTCTTCACGGTATTCCATCAACCACTACTAATAACAAAAATCTAACTGTAATTTTTTGAAATCGATTTGGTACAGTGATTACGACATCTTGAACATTTCTTGAATTAATGAAAGTCAGAGATGGCACACTAACACATATATCAGTTGGTCTATATGGATTTGTATGATTTCTAGAGCTCCATTTTTAGAATTGAAGAAATTACGTTTTTGGGTCGGAATATATTCACTTCACTATATTCATTTCCCAGCTAATCGCTGAGATACTAGATAGACAGTCTCAAACTCTGTCATCTATTGCCCCCAACATATGTATGAGTTTCAGTTCTTCAAAAAGTTTACATACCTAGACGAAGGCGCCAATCCTTCTTCTTCGGCCAACCGCCGTGCTATTTCGGCATCTCGTCTTGCCAGCTCCTCCAAACGTCGCTTTTCTTCTTCCTCAAATTCTTGTTGAAGGCGCCGAGCAATTTCTTCGTCCGTCTCGGTTCTTGAAATTACGAGTCATATAGAAAATTGTTGCTGAGCCGGTTCTCTTCACTGCGTACATTTTTTTCAGTGCCTCAAGTCTTCTTTGCCGAGCCGCTTCGTCCTCATGCGCTTGTTCGGCTATAGATTGTTTTGTGTCGTCCCCAACAAGGCGGCGTCCTTCGCGATTGCGATTGTAATGACTAAAACTCAGAAAAACAAATTTGTATACTATACATCCATTATACTTGAGTCATTTCTTACAATGGCACTTGCCAAATAAAGGAATTGGAAAAAAGTGGTGGCCAGGGAGAAAGAGGACTATGCCAGAAAGAGACGCAGCGTGAACAATTTTGTGAAGAATTCGTAGCCGGCCTTTTTTTCTTGGCGAAACACACACAGTCATAACTTCGGCTGCTTTGTTATGAGGGAGAAACAATGGAAAAAGCTCGGAAACAAAAAAGTCTTCGAATCATAAGCACATAGTGTTTGAAGGATGATGTGCGACTCTTTCCTCCCCTTCTCCTCCCCCCCCCACCTTCCTGCTCTTTCCTGAATCACATTCCCCTGATGGTGCTTAACACATCCACGACAAAGCCGATTTTCCGACTGCCATGTCGACCAGGGCATTTTTCGCTCTTTCAAACTTACGACCCACCGGTGGGTCGTATTGTCGTGAATGTGCTAGATGGCGAACGGTCGAACGATTTTCTGGGAGATTTCTAACAGTTGTAAAACGAATGCATCTTTGATCATACCTCATATATTCCTCTTCTTGTAGACGAAATGCGAGATTGTAGTCTTCGATCTCACGCAAATGTGCTGCCACTAAACATAGAATTTCATGTCAGTGAAATGAGAATGATGATTTTGATCTATGGTTTCTCCATTTGTTTATGCTTGAGTTGTACACCACTTTGTGTTCGTGTTCGCAATCGTTGATTTAAGCCCAACGGAAGGACCAGCTTAGATAAATATTTTCGAAGCGGAGATTACTCATAGGTAACTCCGATGAACCTTGAACTTTGTAAGTTTGTAGGCAAGAGAGTCAGCAAGCAAGGGGCCTTTATGAGAAAACTGCGTTTTTCAGTAGTTTCCCATTGCAAAGTGCAAAAGCTCTGCAGAAGATTGATTACGTTATCACTTCGCTGTTGAAAAACCGGGTACTACAAAAAAAATCTTCCAAAGACCTTGTGACGGATAATTGGACTACTATGTATTGAAGAAAAATCGAGCTTCTACCCACCTGCAGTTCAATTTTGTATACTCTGAGGCATAATAAGTTGGCACACAAGTTTTGCAACTTATTTATTAACTTTTCTCTTTTTGAATATGACGCATTCATTTTTGGACATAATGGAGATTGGATAGTAGGCTACAAACCTACGCAAACAATTATTATTGGTTTCCAACTGGAGAAGTCTACGCATTCTTCAAAAGATGGTAAGATCCGAAATTCCAGTGTAGGATAACCAAAAATATTAGGTTGTCAAGAAAATAATGTCGTTTTTCATAGCAAAGCCATGAGACAATTCCTAAAAAATATATGAGGGGAGCCATTCGATAGGGCAAAGGAAGCTCTACAAGATGACATCCGAGCATTGGCATAAGCTGTTGTTTACGCAAAGTTCAGAGCCAAAACATATGAGCAGCTCGTGATGCCAAAAACTGGATTTTCGCCCTAAAAAATCTTGCGAACCTCTCACTTGCTCCCGCATGTAATAGACACAAGCACTTACCCATAGGTGCGCTTGCTATATTTTTTCCATGTTTAGAAACTAAGAAAAAATCAAAAAATGAAAAATGGCAAACTCCGCTCCCAGTAGTAATGGGACCCTCCCACACATGTTATTGTATACTACAAAGCTTCTCAACTTTAAGCATAAAGTTTTGGCCTCGGATATATCCTAGTTCTCGAGTTATATCAATTTTACCTGAAAAAATCCGAAAAAAACGACATTAATTTCGTGACAACCTAATAAAGCTGTTCTCAGTCTGAATCAAACAAATCAAGTCGAAACTGTGTAGATGATTAGAGTTTCCTCTATCAGCAATTTGGGTACAGTTTCGCTCGATGTGTTTGATTCAGACTAAGAACGGCTTTATTTTGGACTCTAGAAACCGACTCTTGAAATTTTTGATTTCGCCAGCTTCCGAAAAATGAGTGAATTTTCTCCATATTTGCGCATATTTTAGCCTACTACCTTATCTACATTATGCTCTCAAGTGAATGCGTTACAATCAAAAACAGAAAAGTTACCAAATAAGTTGCAAATTTATGTGCCAACTTGATAAATATCTAGGCAAATGCTTTTAGAAAGAAGTATATTCGCAAATTGGAAGATAATGTGAGCCTTTTAAGTCTTTCTATAATATCTGCCATGCTGATAGCTAGAATGAAGATCTCCGGGATTACTGTCCTCTCCTTTATTCTTTCATTTACATAATCCTTACTTTGAAAGAAAGCACCGAAGATTTAACTGATTAACCAGTGGTAATATCGCATTTTACCCACACCTGTGCCACTTCCAGACTCAACTCAACGAAGCAGAACTTGAAAAAATAGAAAGATCAGTATTAGCGTCACCTGTTCTGGAAAGAACGGCCGACGTAGATAACGGGTAAAAGGCAATAAATTTGCCATTGGTCAAAAAGCGACGCTGCAAGTCCATATCATTTATCAAAACTATGTTCACGATGCTAATGTAAGAAATTTCGTTGTTCATTTCTGATGAATTAGCAAAAATGGTGATTGAGACAAACGACAAGATGAAAGGAAAAAGGTATTAGCAGTGGCATGCAAAGATAGGAAGAAATGGGTTTGATAAACGTTAGTCATACCTCACACAGTGTTACTTTTAGAGCAGACTTCGATCAAGATTCAGAGGCGGAAAGTGAGATTCAGTGCCTGTTAAGCTCTGAACGCTTTGAAAATACTCAGCTGTCAGTACATAAGAAAAATGCGGTTCAAAAATGAACAACGTTTTGATGTGGAGATCGTGATAATAATAACTGATATGTATGAAAAATTATCCGTTTATTAATTTTATGGAAAAAAAAATTAACTTGTTAATCTTGAAATAAGCATGAGTCGATGGCTAAATCTAAGATCGTTGAGAGTTTGAGAAAGTCTGGATTATAGTACTATTTGCATAAAATGGTGAAAAACACATACCCTCAGCCACAGACTTCTTGGCCTCCATTACGATCTCGTGCGCGGAATAGTATAGTAGCAAACCAGAAGTGTCTGTTCTGCTGAAGTAGTACGTGAGAATGCGATCTCACAACGAGACACGGGAAGTGGAACGAGCAGTAGTCAATCATGAGAAAACCAACTAGCAGAAAAATGCAAACGGATTGACAAAGTGCTCATTGAGTTCCGCGAAGTTGACACAATAAGAGTAATCTTACTTCTGACACATGACGCCTCTTGCGACACACGAAACCTGACAGGGGACGGGAATACGCTTCTAACTAGTTTTTATGAGAATTGAAAAAAGATTTTCGAAAAGTTCAGGGGATTTTTCCGGTGGAGAAAGGTTAGACGGCTGTGAGAAGAAGGTGCGTCAGCTGTGCTGAGATGATTCAGCGCAATGGTCACGAGGTGGACAACAACTTTTAGCCGAATGCACTGCGCTGCGCAACCAGGATTATATCGAAAACAGAAAGTATCTGAAACATGAGCGACTGCTTTCGTTCAAATTTCCTGGTAAAGACAAAATGAACTTTGAAATACCGTCTTCAAAACGGTAGAGATAATGATATCAAACTTGTGAGAGCTGATTTTTCTGTGAAAACAAGCTAATTTTTGTTCTCATGCTCTGATTCTTCTCAACCTTTACTTTTTGGCAAAAAGGTTGTCAGCTTCAAGTTTTCGACTCATTGCCTCTCTCTACAACAGCAACAAAGTAGGCAGTCTATACGGCACAGTTCCCTTTGTTTCTGGCAATTAGTTGATGTGTTGATGGAGTAATCCTAAGAATAGTTCAACAACTAAAAATGGAGTGTTTCATCGACAGTAGATGGGTATAACACTGAAATCCTATGCTGCTTGCCTACGAGGAGAATACATGACGAAAGGAGTGAAATAGACATGCGATTAAGTGTAATGATTGCTATTTTTAAGACAGTTCTCCTTGGAAGAAGTGCTGGAATATTTTATAAAATGAGCTTCCGGAAGAGTTTGAGTTGCAATTGGAGTTTAATCTCGAAATTGTCCAAACAAGTATAGTAAGCTCACCCAGAAATGTTTGATTCAGCTTAGCCGGACGGCCTTAAAAATAATCATACTTTATTTTTGCTTGTACAGAAAGAAAATAATCAGTAAAGCTGCTCAACACTTATTGCGGCAAGATAAGATCGCTTGCATTTACAAACAGAGAATTCGTGTTTTCTTCCCAAACAAAAAGCTCGCGATTAGTCCCTGAGCGGCATAAGAACAGTTATACGTCGTCCATAAATTGTTGGGATTGTCCAAAAATTGCAACAGCTGAAATGATGAAAAGCAGCTTTTTTGACTATGAGCGGGAATCTGAGAAAATACGAATCGATTGTGTGAATCACAAGGATTTGCTCAATGTGGTGGAAAAACAAACAAGTCGTGCTTGCATAGGTTGGAAGAAAGCCAACAGAAAAAAAGCGTCCACTTGTGTTTGGAAAAGAAGTTGACCTAATCTTGCGACATACAAATTCTCTGTACAAAGGGCAGTCCACTCAAACTGGTCATGGTCTTCCCTCGGAATGTGAGAGGCAAGAATGAGGTCACTCGGGGACAGGAATCAAGAATGAACGGGGTCTCGATCAATCGCTCTGTTATCAATTAACGCTTCGATCTCCTAGCTATCGTGGCAAGGGCGGAATGATCAAGGAGCTGCGAAAATAAAAGTGCAAGTTTTCTGTCACCTCAGCACACATCGGAATAGTTGCGGTTTAGTGCATAGCTAAGAATAGATGCCTTATCATATGTGTTTATTGCAAAAAGCACTTATAATAGCACATATTACACAGGAAAGCAAACAAAATGATTTGTGGCAGCACTTAGACTGCTCAGAAATGAGTCAGTAAACAAGAACATGTCGAAATTCGCTTATCAGTGGGTGAACTATCAGTTTGATAAAATTCAGTGCATCACTTTTGATCGAAACTGGTTATCTCTGACCATAAAGCACGAGAACCATATTTTTATAAGCTCGCTTTGAAAATCTGTTTGCGAAACTTCATCATTCAAAACGATCTCGAAAATAACGATATTAAGAAATTCCAGTCGTCGAAAGGACACAAGCTATAGCGGTTGCTGTTAAACTCGCCGTACCTAACATCTGGTAAATAAGTAAGAGCTCATAATCTTAATATGCGAGGGCTATGCATTCATTACACTCCTGCCCTTCTCAGAAAGCAGCCAACGCTCAGCTGGCAACAGAGCTGCGAAGAAAAAAGAATGTAGGAATAGACTCGAAGCATTTGCTACGACTTTACTTGAGAGAAGCTTGAAACAATTTTTGTTCGACAGTGAAAATCTCTAGATCCCATGTGACGCCGATTTAAACTTGTTTCAAGCTTTCCTTATGTAAAGTCGTCCATCAAGAGGGGAAGGTAGCACTAGAGAGAAGTTTATATCCCTGGACTTGAGAGATCTGGTTCCTTGCCAGTTTGCCTTGAAGTGTTTCCTCTTCGAGGTGGTCTTCACTTCTTATAAGCTTAACAAAGATTGCTAACAAGGCAGCTATTTTCAGGGTTCTCCATGAATCCCTAGAAACCGTCGAAGTATACGAAAATATCGCAAGTTTTGCATGGAGTGTGTTGATACGCTCTGACTTAGGAAGGTGTGCAAGTTATCTGATTTCTATTCGTAAGTAATTTTTTGGCTGTTCGCGAAGCGCTTGAGTATGATTTATCCTGCCTTTTGGGGCTAAAATGAATAGTGAGTGTAAATAATATTAGGTTGTTGCATAAGTTCTGTCCGATTTGAAATTTTTGACTTCAAATTGTCATAACTTCTTTCAATGTCAGCTTTTTCCCAGGATCTTAGATTCTGTTTGTTGAGCAATTCCTTGGCTATCAGATACATATTGAAACCTGTGGAAATCCGTGTTAAGGAAGAAGCAAGAACTCAAAAACACAGCTTTTTTCTTCAAACCTTTCTTATTTGACATGGCGGTGCTCCCTTATGAGAATTGATAGGTAACAATGGATAAATAGAGATTTTTTCGCAGATTATTTTGCACCATAAAAGAGCCCATAGGGTCTGCGTTGCCGAAAGATTTTTTGACCGAACAAAAAAGGCCACTTTTTGATCTCGCTTCAGCGCATGTGTGCATGCCTATTTATAAATTACGAAAATTTTACAGTTGCCGTGAGCGCCGCAAAAAATTGGTGGATGGTCTGTGCTAGCCCTTGCTTTACGCTAGCACCTCCAACTTTGAAGTCGTCGATTACTTCTATTCACAGAAAGTTATTGCTTGTAAAATATCTATACTGAAAATTAATGTTTGACAATAAATTTTACTAGCAAGACGTTTTCTTCATGAAACTGAACTTATGCATATGCTAGCCTATTACACCCTTATTCCGCTACCAATTAAAAAACTTGACCTGAAGGGCGAATTGTGGAGATTTCCTCGCAAGAACATATTTCTAGGGTGAGAACGTACCTCGGCCACTTGGAGATTTTAGGCCTGAAATCTCCTTACACCAAAAAATTTATTGAAATTTGATATGCCTTAGAAAACGCAAGAAAATCACTTATGATACTAACAGTATCGCATTAGAGATGAAATTTTCTTAAAACAGCTGCCTCAAACATAAGGTATAAAACATTGCCACAAGTGGGTGTCTCTAGATTGTTGCTCACTCCCAGTGAAACTGATAAGTGATGACTAAAACATTCAGTCGTTTACAAGATGGAATTGGATAAAGCCAATGAGATGAGGGGTTTGCGGGTATCAAAATGGATGAACGAAACATCCATAAATTAAGCTAAATAAGAAGTTTTACAAAGCTCTAATGCAGAAGATGTCACAATGATGTCACAAAAAGCCCATATACAACGATAAATAGCATACGAATTCATGGCAGTTCAACTACATGACAATTGAATTGATAAATGTGAGAGCTGATGTTATGATAATATGCGAAGAAGATCTAAGGGTTTTCAAAGCAATACCTACTTCCATCTTTGAGTAATTATAAATTTCGCGATTTCGAAAATTATAAACTTTGCAAGAGTTTTTTTTTTGATAGGTTTTGCGAATGCTGCTCGAAGGCTTTCTAAAAAAATTGGAAGGGTTGAATCCTACACTTTGGAAGCTAGACTAGAGCTGTGATGGATGCTTTCTGGTTGTTTTGTTTAACACATTGACGACCATGCAGATTTTTAGTTGTCTGCCTTCTGGGACCAAGGCCTTTTACGGACCAGCCCACATTTTTCAACTATAATCACGCATACTGCCATCTACAGTACGCCTAAGTAAATCTGAAAGGCTGGCAAAAAAGGTAGAGGTCATCCCTAGATTCAGCGCAAAAGGAAGCTCGTGGGGTGAGTTTATTCCAGGATGGTAGTCATTTTAACAAATTCAAGTCTTGACACACATGGTGTGTCAAGCGTCCCACGCGGTATTCATGGCTTGACACACCATGTGTGTCAAGCGTTTGTCAATGTGTTAATACTGTTCAGGTCCTGGGTATGTCCGTTTTCTTTGTTACATAAGTGGTACGTCTTGTGCGTATGGAATGAATAATAAATAAATGCTATGCGATTATTGTCAGCAAAAGACTTTTACGAAAATGAGGGTTTGAGTGCTTTACTGTTCAAGTATGGAATAAGTAATAAAGGAGGTTATCATCCAGACCTAGATATGACTATTGCTTACCATGACATCTGTGCAAAGTCTGATGACGTAGAAAGTTTATGTATGCCAAAAACTTCATTCGTGTCTTCCCCAACAAAAGCTGTGCATTGGCACGGTACCCTCAAAAGCATTGTGCGAATAACACTGTTTACGCTTTTGCTGTACCAATGCTTACTTTTCATCAGACACATATAAAGAGCATGCGGAAAGATTTTATGCTCTGTGATGCTGTGTTCCCGACATTTGCTTCTTCTAGGTTTCGTCTTCTGCTATTCCAAGCAAACAGTGGGAAAAATCAAGGATGTTTCAAGCAAATATGAGCAGGTGAAATGCCTTGGCTTTTTTAAGTTTTAGATTCCCCTGAAACATGGTGCAGCACAAAATTTTCAAATTATTCAGGACAACGCTCTTTACAAATCTGAACCGTCTCCTGATAGTCGGGATATTGACAGTGAAGACGAAACTACTACTACCGATTCAAATAATGTAAGTTCAAAAAAAAAATACATAATTTTCAGTCTAAGTTCATTCACTTCAGGGGTCCACTGTGCAAGATGTTGTCCCACGTCTAATCAGACTGAACGGAAAATTACGGTAAGATTGACTTCGATAGTTCGTTTCATTCTCAGAACTCAGAAATAACAGTTTAGAGCTTTTTCTTTTCGTGAAATTTCCGGTTTGAACACGCAATAATAATTTATTTCCCTCATGCCTTTATTATGTGGATGATTAGGAGTTCTGGCTGTTTTCCAATTAACTCTCCTTCGGTAATTTTGTATGTTCAATTGTCCTCTTCATTAAGAAACGCCTTTGTTCTATTCTTGAATGTGAATTAATCCGACAAGTTAAAGGCAGTGGACAGGCATAATGGACCCCGGTCAGATTTTGGTAGTTTCGGGTAGTAGACCCCCCAAGTACATCATAGCCCCAAGCCCACCTTCCAATTCATGCGCTAAGTCTTGAAAAAGCGCTTCAAAACTCCACCAATAACGCTCACTCAATGGAAGTGGGCGGGGCTGGTGGAGTTTTGAAGCGCTTTTTTCAAGACTTAGCGCATGAATTGGTGGGCTTGGGGCTATGATGTACTTGGGGGGTCTACTACCCGAAACTACCAAAATCTGACAGGGGTCCATTCTGCCTGTTCACTGCCTTTAAGAGGGCCGAAGTGGCACGCGCTTGAATTATACTCATAAAAAATCCCATTATTGCTCGTGCTTTCTGATGAATTTGAAAAGCGATTGACGGCGCCCACAAAGTGAAAAATCTGTTCAGAAGAAGAGAATGCACCAAATTTTACAGCTGACTCTTTAAAATATTTCATGAACCTCTAGTACTTTTGAAGCGATAAGTTCGCAGTCTAACTTTCGAATTTTGAACCTGATAGATGGGATAAGATGGCATGCATTCCCGACTAAACCTTCTTTGAGAGCACATTTTGAAAACTTTTGTAATGGCATCCTCTCCTGTCAGTTTCCTAATAATGGGAAACTAGATATTGTGAACTGGAAAATACATAGGGGACTTTAGAAAATTTTTTTTACTAATGTTATAATTTCAAACTAACCAGAGGAAATGCAAGATTGAGATAGATACTATGTAAAACTCGTGCTCAAAAAATCTGAATCACATATTGTTGCGATCATGCACCCCATTTTTATGAGCTATGATTTACTCACAAAAAATGACAAATGAACTCTAAAGTTACATTCAGATCTGTGTATCTTCGAGGCGACATGATTTTGAGCGCAGCATTACGTCGAAGCCTGGGTTTGGAATCCTCTACGGACAGTCATGTGCGTACGAAGCGCTGGGCATATAAAGACATTTTCTACCCAGATACGATTTGGACCGATGGAGTACCTTATGCTTTCGACACGGAGCTCTGTAAGCATGAATTTTTCAAAGATTTTGAACTACACCAAATTTTAGCACCCCTCGCAATCACCAGCTTGAAAAATGCAATCGCATTTTGGCAATCGAACACTTGTGTGACTTTTCGGGAACGGGACAATGAGACTCAGTATATCTTGTTCACAGGTAATTCTCTTTGCTTCTTGGCACAATTTTAAACAAGCAGAGATTTAGGAGAAAATGAAGGGTGTTTTTCCTCGGTAGGCAGAGACACTGAGCAACCGGAGCAACCTGTGAATATTGGAAGAGGATGCTACCACGCAAGTTTTTAGCATTTTTTAGAACTTGAGAAGAGTGTTGATAGTCATAGTTTTTCAGTTCGGCGTAACTACACACGAAATCGGACACGCGCTTGGTCTCTTCCACCATCAACAACGGTATGATCGCGATGATTACATAGCTTTCATCCAGGAAAACGTCCCAAGGAATTATTTGCGTAATTTCGTCAAGGTATTGCCTATCCATGCATGGTATCCAGCTGAGAAATGTTGTTTTAGATTCCTGAAAGGTTTTTGAGCACCTATGGGCTTCCTTACGATGTTGGCAGCATCATGCATTACACCCCAACAGAGTGAGAAGAACTTTGAGTGAATGAAAAATCTACAGACGATAACGATTTCAGATTTGCACCGGATCCATATCTTCCCGGTCTCGTCACTATAGACCCAAATATGCAGGGTACCATGGGAGCACTCGACGGACCATCCTTTCTTGATGTTGAAATCATTAATAGGCACTATCAGTGTGACCGTAAGTTCGGACACGTGTCTCAATCTTCTAGCGAAAAGGTTTTTATGTAAACGTGGGACTTGAAATGAATACAAAGTTCGTTTGCTAGTAAAGTCGAGAAAAGCTAAAGCATTTTGCTTCTTTCTCCTTCCTTCGTTTTTCCTTTCTTATATTAAATCAAGTCAAATAGTCTTTCACAAAAAATATAGAAACAAAGCCGAGGATCTAATCTCTTGAAATCTTCATTAGATAGGTTATATAAATATACGAAGCAAAATTGAGAAACAAGGCCTTTTTGATTTTATCATCTTTTGTTTGCTCACTAATTCTGTTCATGATTACATTCGTACAGAAATACAGGGTGTCCCAAAAAAATGTATCGAACGTTTGATCGTTAATATCTCTCTTCCCTAGAAGTCTTTTGCCTTACTTCAGGTACCGTTTTGTAGAGCTGGCTTCAACTTAGATTTGCATTATAGAACGAATCACCCAACTCTCTTCAATATTGTAGGATTACGGTAGAAACTTGAAACATATGGTGTCCATGTGGAAAAAGCTGCCGTTTCAGAATTTTTCAAAAAAAAATGTGAAAACTTGTGTAATAGGGTTTTTATGGACGCTGAGTTCAATACTCAACTATACACAAGATTGCGAAGCTTTCTAAATGGTGTAACGGCACTTTTTAGGAACACTGAAAAAATGGCTGCTACCTCTTACCTGGCATAACTCTTCAATGAAGCATCATAATAAGTTGGGAACTTTACAGTTATAATCAGCAACTGTAACTAGCCTAGTGTAGAAGCTTTCAGGCTGTTTCGTTTCCTTTCTGAGGCAAAATATGGCCTTTCATTGCTTAAAACCCTCTTTGAAGTTTCTACCGTAATCCTACAGTAAAGAAGAGAAATGAGTGATTCGTTCTATAATGCAAATCTAATTGAAGCCAGCTCTACAGATCGGTACCTGAAGCAAGAAAAAAGACTTCTTTAGAAGAGAGATATTAACGATCAAACGTTCGATACATTTTTTTGGGACACCCTGTATATGGAGGTACCTACTTCGATGACCCGATTTCAAGAGAAACATCTGCTTGCACAAAATATTGTGATATTACTTTGCAGCTATTTCAATAGCTGGCATTTACTATCAGATTGGATTGACAATGGTCAATTAGTTTTAATTAGTTCCCCATTAGTTCCATTCGACAGGTTTGCTTCAAGCAGAGTTACTGAGTAAAGTAAATTCTGAGTAAATTTGAAAAAAACGCAAGATCTCAGTCTGACTTTGTGAGTTAATGTCAATATATCAGGTGGAAAAAAGGCTGTTGTTTGCGTTATCAAATTTCTCTAGAGCTACGACGCATTTTTGTGCAAGTAATTAGGAAAAAGTGCACAAACTGTTTGAATAATGATCTTTGAGGACTATGCAATTCAACCGACTCCAAGCCGACCTGCTTGAATGGAGGTTATGTTGACCCTTTGAACTGCACTGTTTGCAAGTAAGGTTTTGAATTTCTTGATTTTGCCAACCTATCTCACAGTGGACACTTTTAAGATGTCCTACTGGATTTGCGGGAGATTTTTGTCAGCTGATCGAACCATCTGGAACTTTGAAGTGCGGCGGGCTTATTCCAACTACATCAAGATTGACCCGGATGAAGATTACTATATCTGCTAGTGGTCCAGGGAGGAAGAAATGTGTTTATCATATTCGGGTAGGTCAAACTACCTAGTTATCTACTGCTTTATAACAAGTTTATGTATGCGTTTTTCTCTATAGTCTCCTCCTAATCGTCGTGTTATGATCGGTCTGCAAGAAATCCGAGGAGTTTGCCAAGAGGGATGCTATAATACAGCTGTTGAAATGAAGATGATTGGTGATTTTCGGCCTGTGGGCTATAGGTAAGGGATTTTCGAAGGTATTCGCAATGGTCTTTCGAAAATTACTCAGATGTTAGGTTGTAAAGAAAAGAATGTCGTTTTTCGTAGCAAAGCAATAAGAGGAATGCGAAAAATAACGAGGGGTACCATTCGCTAGACCAAAGAAAGCTCTACAAGATGATTTTCAAACATTGACAGAAGACATGATTTACGCAAGTTTTGAGCCAAAACGTAAGGTAACCCAAAATGCCAAAAATCGATTTTTGCCTTCAAAAATCCTACAAACCTTTCACTTGCTTCCGCATGTACATACACATGCACTTATCCATAAGTAGGCTTGTTATAATTTACCCTTGCTTAGAAACCAAAAAAATTCGAAAAAAGGAAAATGGCAAACTCCGCCCAGGTAGTTCTGACTACTCCCATATATGCCATTGTATACTACAAGCCTTGGAAATAGTCACAAAATTTTAGCCTTGTGATGGTTCTTAAGAGATATCAATATTAGCAGAAAAAACCGAAAAAGCGAACCTTTTTTTCCAACCTAATAATATTTTTTAGGTTCTGCTGCGATTCACATTCATTCCGTCGTATGTTGTCCAGGGGAAGAAATGTTCCGATCACATTCTTTGCACGAAATTCAACTCTGGAAGTCATTCTTTACTTTCGATGGGGTTAGTTTTACTTTTTGCACAACTTTCCTACTATTTTCCTGAGAACGTTGGAATCACTTACATAAATAAAGCGAATACCGAATTTTTCTCGAATTTTTGAGCAACCAAAGTGTTATCGCGAATTTTTAGTTGTGCTAACACCAGATGCTGAAGATGCGAGGTACCTCAATGCAACACAGCTAGCGGAAGTCTATCAGCAAAGCGACGCAGACAACGGTAGAATATCATTTTTTGTATACATATTAGCTAGAGAAATTAATGCCAGATTGCAGGAGTGGATATGCAGCTTCTACAATTACCCTATGAACCAGCCATTGGAGGAAAAATTATACGCAACACAAGCGATCCGAGAATTTTGAAGAAGAAGAATACGAGAGTAAGAGTTTTTTATAGGCTTTCTTAACGACATGTTGGATAGTAAGCAATAAGAAAACAACTTACTGTTAGATTTATGGTTCTAACAGGGGATAGTTATGGGTGCGATGATCCCAAATTCTGACATGGCCAATTTTCTTCTACAAAACAGCCACTTTCTATTTTTACACGACTTCGTTTGCAAGACCACTGGTTTTATTCTTCCTTCGCGATATTTCTGATGTTAGGTTCAATACTGGATGTTTCATGCATTTGTTAGCTGTATACTCATACATTAATTTCGAAGGCTCCCTTTAGACTGGCTTTTTGAGGAATTTATTAGCCTCACGGGTTATATAGAACCGCAAAATATTGTCATTTCCTTTTCAGCGGAAGAGCATTTGCAATTGTTTTCAGATTGTCGGAATTTTTGGAAAGTCAAGAATCTGTTCCTCAGCTCATATTCATCTACAATATGCTTTTCAGGTAGCCTATGATGATCCAAAAATTATCGGCGCATATGGAAGCAATGGCGAAAGCTACGAAGATTTCTCTATTTACAGTTGAGGCATCTGAATATTGAATCCGAGAAAAAAGGATAGACTCCTGCCAGCTTCGATTGAGATAATTTCAAATCAAGTTTTCTACAGATAAGTTCAACCCAAATTTCTAGCCTTTGTCTGTATATAGATGCTACCATTCTATGTTATTGTTGCACCACATGAAGTGATGTAGTTTTAATACTGTCATATTCGGGAGCTCCTTCAGCGGAAATTTCTCAACTTGACAGAACTAGCGGTACAATGTTTTATACACAGTTCTATTATTTTTAAACATAATTTTTTGAGAGTTCTATCGGCTGTGTGATGATTACATTCATGAATAAAGAGATCTACTCACTTCTTACCGAATAGAGGTTCAACGCATATTATGTTTACACGACTTTCACCGCTTGCTGGGTTTTCGCAAACTTTATAGCAGAGTTGATTCACGCCACGTTTGCAGCGATTCATTGACGAAAACCTATAAAAGATCCTCGAGGTTTGATTCTGTGAACACCATGCAGTTCCAGCTTATCGTACTGCTATCAGCAATGGTCTGCAGGAGCCGCTCTATAGAAACTGTAGGTTTGTAGTTCTTTTTTGCGTAAACGAACATGAATTCTATCGAAAGCTTTGTTTTTATAAAATAAGTAGCTGCCAATTTTTTTGGCCTTGTTATTGGCAGGGAAAAGAACATAAGCCTCTCGGAACTTTCAAAGAAATTTGATTCTCAAAAATGTACCATATTAAGGTCAAAAAATGGTTTTCGTTAGCCTTGCACCAATGTTTTAGAAGATCCATATATTCCGTTATATTCTTAATTTGTGCCAGATAGATCAAAGAAAAATCATCAGCTTCTCGGAGGTAATCACAGCATGAAGTATTGTCGAACCACGGCGATGTAAGCTGATAGAGCGGATCTTTCACTTATTGTTCTACATTCTGTCTTTACAAAGACTTATAGTGTTCTATTTTGTATTTGTGATCCAATTTGGAATATGAAGAAAGCAGTGGCGTACCCAGGATTTCGGCTCGGGGGGGGGGGGCGACAAAAATTTTTTTTAATGAAGGTGCGTGGCGTCAGCCAAGCACTCCGGAAAAATTTTTGGGGTGCTTCTCAAAATTTTTGTAGGTCCCCAACCCCTAAAATCTGGAAAAAGGGGAAAAAATTTTTTATAGGAGTATTTTGATTTTTTAAAAATTTTTAAAATCATTTCAATTATTTACAAAAATAAACAAGTCACTTGCACATTTTTATAACCCATATAAGTAACTTTCAAGAATTTCGCGACCTATTCTCGGGGGGGGGGGGGCGCCCCCACACCCCCCTCCCCTCGGGACGCTACTGGAAGAAATTTTCACGCTTTTCGAAGCTCAGATTCGGGGTCTACGGGTCGAGAAGGCCCAAACCATGCAAAAAGATGGAAATGCAAAATCTGCCGGAACACTGCCTTAAAGGCAGTGTCCCGGCATATTTTGCATTTCCACCTTCCTGCATGTTTTAGGCCTTTTCGCCACGTAGAACCCGAATTCAAGCTTTCGGGCTGGAAAGGCCGATTTTGGGGGGTTTACCTAATTCCAAAAAAGCAGCTCGGACGAGATTTTTAATGGAAAGTTGGGAGGTCTTTAGGCGAAGACCCTGCCGCCTGTAATTTTTGCTTTGGATAGCATGCACAATGAGGGAGAGCGCTCGTGGGGTCCCGCCCGAACGGACGAAGATAACCATCTAGCGCGCGCCGGTTCATGGGCAATTTTCTCGGCCCAGGGGGAACATCACCCAGCCGGACTGCCCCTGGAGGTCGGTGGGGTGACCAGGAACCCCACCACACTTATATCCCCCAGACCCGAATCTGCCTGGACATTGCCTTTAAGGGGAAACGTTATACGAGAGCAAGATTTAAGCTCGACATAAGCCTACCATTTGCTGGGCAGTGACATAGCGATTTTTAGTCAATCCAAAGATGCATGACCCACATGTGGATATATATATATATCCATATATATATATGTGGTATATATATATATATCTTATATCCATCGAAGAGGGAAAATCGAGCTACTTTTCTCTTATTTTAGATGAGATTTCTACGCGCTCACCGAGGCAACCGCGTGCATCTCGACAGACTCAGGAAGCTCGTCGCTGTAGAATATCAATTCAGTTCTCACGCTCCGGTAAGTGCAAACAACTGCACATACAAAGGTGAACAGAACCTTTTCCTAGCAAAACATTCACACAATGTCTGGAGTGGAACCGAGTGAGAGGAGTTTTAAGAGACTCAATCAGAATTTCTCGTAAGTCAGTCCTCAAAACGATACTCTCTCAGCAAAAAATAAACTTTCAGGAATATTTTGTACGATGGAGACATTATAATTAGCGAAAAGCGTTTACGCGAACTTGTTGACGATATTGGTAGCCAACAATCAGGACGGAAGGCGAGGCCAAGGCGTTGGGCATATCGCGACAATCTCTACCCTGAAACAATCTGGAGAAACGGCATACCGTATGCTTTCGATGTGGATTTGCGTGAGTCTCGCGACTACACTATTATTATAGTTACTAGTCTTCACTACCAAAAATAGTCAAAGAAGCTTTAACTGACCTTTTTTTCAGCTGCCGTAGCAGTTGCTAGTATAAGAAAAGCTATGGAATTTTGGCAAAGCAATACATGCGTCACTTTTCGCCCGCGTAAAAATGAGAGGCAGTACGCCCTTTTCACAGGTTCGTTTGCCAAAAACCATTCGATTTGTAAGCTAGGAATTATCAAATGGGCAGAAATTCATGTCCCTACTTGCTTCAAGTCAAATCAATTTGCTTCCATGAGAATCATTGTTGAACATCGTCAGATCATTGTTCTATAATATTTCTTATATCGGTTTCTTTTCATCACTAGTATGGTTTTAGCTTGTAATCTAGGTGGACAAGTTCGATGGCCTAAGTGCTGAACATAATTATAAAGACACTCTATAAACTGTCATAATTTGCCTTCTTGTCGACGAATCTGTCTGATGGTTTGCTGTTTAGTGCGCATGTCAGCCTACCATGATCTCTCAAAACGGCTTCCGATTTTGTTTAGTTCGAACGGAGAAGATAGAAAAATTGGAAAAAGCCTCTTTTAAAAACTGGAAAAAATCATAAAGACATAGGTTTTTTGTACACTATCGCATCCCCTGGCTTTAAATTTTTTTGTACAATTAAATACTAAAATATGAAACATTTGCAACACATGCGACTGTCATACTTTTCATAGAAAAATGTTCACTGCATTTTTTGCTTTCCAAAGCACCAAGAGTCAATCTGCTTCAACAAACAGCTGGTTTAAAGAGTTTTCAAGCTTTTGTTCATCTCAGATGATAATTGTAAAACCCACTGAGCTTTTTCAATAGATGAGGTGAAAAGCTCTGCGTAATTGCTGATATTGACGAACAGACTCCGACCTCAAGACAGGTTTGCCACGCTTTTAAACCACAAAACTCAATCTTTAAGCAACAGAAAGTACTGTAATGTAGCCATTACGTCGGCTGTACAACAGCAAACTTGTGTGCATAATTAGGAAAGTATTTCGAAGTTGGCATTATGATTCAGCCGCAGTTGTTCATCCACTGAATGTTGAGTGGAACACCCTGCATAATCATAGCCGACACAGATCACGAGATAGAACAGAAGACCGCTCAGAACTTTAAAAGCTTAGCTAATCTCATTCTTTGGGTAGAATCTGACAAACAGAGAGGAAAATAGTGAGGTTTATGATTATCTCGAATCCATTGCTCGCAGGGAATTCTTGTGAAAAGTATTTCAGTTCTAAATGACATCATTAGGGATAATCTGAAAGTTATCGAAAGCTGCATCACCATGTAGACAATGTGATAAATCAAGTTGAGTACTTTATGGACATTGCAAACTGAGTTTCTGCTTTGAAAGCGTGGCAAGCCTATGTTGAGGTTGGAGTCCGTCCGTCAATATCAGCGATCGTGCAGAGTTTACAAAAGCGCTTTTCAACTTATGTATCGAAAAGACTCAGTGGATTCTACAACTATCATCTGAGATGAACAAGAGCTTGAAAACTCTTCAAACCAGCTATTTGTTGAAGCAATTGACTTTTGGTGCTTTTAAGCAAAAAATGAAATGAATATTTCTCTTTGAGAAAGATGACAGGTCGCATATGTGGCAAATGTTTCATATTTTAGTATGTAACTGTACAAGAAAATTTTAAAGCCAGGGGATGCGATAGTGTTCAAAAAACCCAGTCTTTATAATTTTGTCCAACTTTCGATAGGAGTTTTTTGAATTTTTTTGAAGTTTTTCCATTCAAATTCGACAAAATGGAAGCCGTTTTAAGGGATCATGACAGGCTGACATGCGCACTAAACAGCAAAGTTTCAGACAGTTCGTCAACAAGAACGCAATTTACGACAGTTTCTAGAGTGTCTTTATAATTATGGCCAGTTAGATGTTTTTATACTACTCTAAGCTCTGCTGTAGTCAAGATTCTGATCAAACACTGTAAAACTGGAAAAACTAAACTTTAGAAAAAATTCAAAAACTAAGCTAAAAAACTAAAACTTTACCAGCGTGTAGGATTCAAAATGCACATGCCTAATTTTTCACCAAGCTGTAGATCAAGATATACATATCTGGACTTAGAATCCAAATTCGAAGCCAGTGCAATATCAATGAAAAAGTCAATCAGCTGAGCACGTGAAATTTTCCATACAAGGACAAGAAATTCTTCCGTTAAAGTAGTCATTGCCTCACTTTCAATGAGGAAGAACAGAGAATACCAAATACCAAATCTGAGGAGCTCTCGCGATGTGCTCATCCTCCTTAGGCAGGGACACCACAGAACCAGAACAACTTGTCTTCATTGGAGATGGTTGTGAAATTGTGAGTTTCCAAAAAAGTGATACTTATAAAAAATGAGTACATGTCTAATTGTAAAATCATAAACTCGGTGTTTCAGTTTGGTGTGACTTCTCACGAAGTCGGACATTTGATTGGACTCTTTCATCATCAGCAGCGTTATGACAGAGACGAATATGTGACATACCATCAAGAAAATGTGGACAGAGGGGAAACTGTAAATTTTGCAAAGGTAGGTTTGTAATTTTAAATTTGAAGACTCTTTCTGATTCGCAGCTTTCCTTCCTTGTAGGTTTCTCCAAACTTACTGAACAACTACGGTTTACCTTATGATGTTGGCAGTGTTATGCATTATGCACCTACAGAGTAAATATCACTTCATTGTCCATCAGCAAACAATTGAAAATGCACCACGTTTTTTTAGATTTGCCAGGCACATCTTCTTCCCAGCACTAATGGCTGTCAATGAAAATTTGCAAGGAGCTATGGGTCAACTGGAAGGACCATCGTTTCTAGACGTTCAAATTGTCAATAGACACTACAATTGCCATGGTAATCATCCAAGCAGATTTCCTATCTAAGCAATACGTTTTGTAGATCTCTGTAAAGGTAGAAGAACACTACCAAAATGTCTGAATGGTGGTTACGTCAATCCACTGAACTGCAGGGTGTGCAAGTTGGTTTGCAATCCTTTGATCACCGTAAGAAAAAATTCTTTTTCAGGTGTCCTACAGGGTTTGGTGGTGATTTCTGTCAACAAATTGCGTCGTCCTACCCATCAAAATGTGGAGGACTCCTGCCCACCGCGTCTACATTTACGCGCTTCAAAATAACTATCATTGCCGAAAGTACAAGGAGGCAATGCATTTATCATATAAGGGTAAATTTGGTAAATTTGTAGGCTTAGAACTAGAAGATGTGGTTCGAAATTTGTGCATCTATGTCAAATTTTAGTCCCCACCTAACCGTCGCGTGATGATAGGTTTGGAAACTGTCAAAGGCAAGTGTCAGGAGGGTTGCTTTACCACTGCTATGGAAGTTAAGATGAATGGCGACTTTCGACCGGTGGGATATAGGTGGTTAAACATTGAGAATTAAACTAACATCAACATGCACAATCCAGGATTTAGATATTGTTGCCAGTCTCAGTCCTTTCGCCGACTTCTTTCCCGAGGACGAAACGTTCCCGTGATCTTTTTTGCACAAAATGGAACTCTCGAAGTGACAATGCTTTTCAGATGGGGTGAGTTAGCTTTTACTGGTAGCGTCTAGGCTTATGTTTATATCTGAGATTCTTATGTGCAAGCTAATCATAAGACCTTAGCCAAACTATTATCTCAAAGACAGCTCATAAAGCTTACTTCTCTAGCACAGACCATATCTACCGTACTCGAGCCCACTTATTGGTCCGCTCATTGAGGTACTATCTAGGCTAGAAATTAACAGCCAGTATCTCAATCAAAAAGTATACAAAGTGCCGTTGGGCAACGGAATTAGGGTTTTCAATCAGTAAGACATGAAATTCGACCCAATTGTCTAAAATCGCCCTTGTTAAAGTTCCCAACTAATGAGCAAAAGCGTTTTTCTATAGTCGTTCTCACTCCTGATGCTGAAGACAATACCTCATTAACGCCGTCTGAATTGATGGAGGTCTACGTACAGAGAGACAACGATAGCGGTAGCGATTCTTTTGCAAAAGAACTTGAAACTTGGATTTTACTATCACTTCAGGAGTGGACATGGAGATGTTGCAAATACCAGAAGGATTTGGCACTCCAGGAGGAGGCGTGATGAACAGAAAACGAACTCTAAATGATGTGAAGGCTTTCGGCAGTATTGGATTGCTATTAGAGAATCTACTTTTCAGATGGGCGTGAAGGAATCCGTAAAGCCTCTGCATGAAGCCTATGGAAGCGATGGGGAAATCTATGAAGACTTCTCCATCTATTCGTAGCTGATTCTACTCATAAAGGGATCACAAGTTGCAAGGGCGTCTGGAATGAAATGCATATAATTAGTTCTCTTCCTGGTGAGCTGTTACAAGCTGCCGTCTGCATGTGCCTAACGATTCTTCAAAGTGAACGTTTGAATATGTAGAGACATTGGTGTCAACAACGACCAAATCTATATATATATAAAACTCAAAAATTGTCAGTTTGGAGGGTATGTGCGTTATAGAAACGCGCGCCGCTCAACCGATTAAGCTGAAACTTTGCACACATATGTTTTCGAGCCTTGCGCAGATGATAGGCTACTTTTCGCGGCGATTTGTTGGGTCCTTCTATTGATTTATTGATTTCTAGCACTTTGCAATTAAAATGATTCTTATCACCTGCTATCAAAGCAGAGATATGTAAACAAGGCGGGTATGTTTCATTGTGGACTTCTGTCAGCGAAGTGCAGTGAAAAATGCTCTTGATATGAGTTTCAATCGTTCAATCAAGTGAATACACTTTATATTATATGCTGCGGTCTATCTTAGCGTCAAAGCAACACAAAAAATGAAGCTCATCATTGTGAAAGTCATTACGCTACTCATCTCTCCTTTGCATGTCAAACCGCAATGCTTGATCTGTAAAGTCTCGGAGTTGTTTTTTTTGGCTTCGAAGCGGATGTCCATTGTAAGTTATCCATGACACCATGACATATAAGAGGGGAAGGACTCGCAGTGCAGGAGAACATTGGCCCGGGCTGGACCGGGAAAGCCCAACTAGTAATGTATATAGTAAATATTGCTTTTGTACATTTGTAACTCATATATTCTGCTATTTGATCTTTTATTTTGTATACAAACCACTTGTCCTATTCAATCATTTATTTTGTGTCTAGTTTTTTGTCAAGTTAAAGTATTTGTGAGTTATTTGTCAATCCAGGTATTTGTGATGTACGCGCCTTTGTCGATTTTGTTTATGTTAGCATGCTTCATACTGCTTTCATGCTTTCTATCTTTCATTCTCCGTGAAGAATGTTGCGATAAGCCTACTTTTATCAGATATCCGTCTGTGAGCTTAGATCATCGTAATCATGCTTCCAACCCAATTCACCTGCAGTCAGTTTTGCCCAGAGTACAAGTTCCACTTTATAACAAGTGAGCTGCTTGTCCATAATGGTACTAAAAGATTACCGGGAAATAAGTCCACTGAATCCTCTTTTTTGAATTCATCGAAGCAGTAATCAATTAATACCTTTAACATATTATATGTAAATGAGTAACATTTCCGTTCTAAAGCTGCGCTGCTCTCTGTAATGGAACCACTGTGGATATCTTTGTCTAGAGCTAGATGCTTTTTACACGCTTGGTCTTCCTCATCCGCAGCATCTCTTGTGTTTTTGGTTGTTGAGGTAACAAAGAATGTTCGCATGCACATTCTCAAAAGTCATACAAAACTACCACGAACTAAGCCACCTTTTTAAGAAGAGGAAAACTTGACAAGCGAAAAAGGATAGAGATTAGAGAAGGATAGAGACACTTCGATAGAGATTTCAAAAACGCTTCCAACACAAGTGAGAGAGACAGCACAGCTTCAAACTGGACAGTTACTAAACATCGTTTTATCCGTGCAATGATTATCTGTTTCCGCTAGATGAAGAACTAAACTTGCAGAAGCAATTCAATCTATTTTGATGCAAATCTACTAGGCTGGCTAATAAATAACTTCGTTTTGGCATGCAGGCATAAAAACCAGCTCTTCGAATTTCTAGTTTTGTTTTTATGCTGTGATGGATACATAGGTGAGTAATTTTATTTGATCACTACAGGTTTTCTCTATCTCACAACAAGAACGATTCTAATGCTTCGTTTTGGAATTCTCCTGTTAAAAAAACGAAATCCTCTCACATTTGCGTACAACAAAAGAAGTTGGGGTATCCTACTTCTTTGCGCCTTTCATACATTAGAAAAAATTCTTCTCAGACAGAACTCACATTCAATCTCTCAGAAGTGTTCTTCACAAAAATCTTGAATCAGGTGAGTCGGTCAAAAGTTTGTCTTTAAGATTTGTAGGAGCCGGAATGCGACCGAACTTCTGCAGTGAGTGCGGTCGTGCTGCTATAAAAACATTTAATTGTGATGGCTACAAGGAGCATTCTTACAAAAACTAAATTGTTTTTTATCCGCTATTTCCTAGATGTTTGACACTCAATGCTTGCTATATTAGGCTAGAGATCGTTAAGCAGTACGGAAGGTATGGAGTCAGGTCACTGAGTCGCATCTAGCGATATGCATTCTGTCCCAGTTGCAGCTTGATGAGCTTTTCTGGTTAGCATTTCTTCTTGTACAGATATAGTTTGTGACTCAATTGCACAAAATTAGTGAAAAATTATGTGATAAGAAGTAAAAATGGAAAAAAGATAAAAAAACTACCATGTTTTTTCGATCACCTTTGTCTGGCAATGCAGTCTAGTGAGAAAATCTTGATCAGTCATATAGTGCCCAGCAGTGGCGTACCGAGGGGGAGGGGGCGCCCCCCCCCCCCTCCCGAGAACTCTTCTTCTTCTTCTTCTTTATCTTCGCCATTGTCCCGCGGGTGCAGGGTCGGCGGTGGTGCATTTTTGCTTCCATTTGACTCGATCAGCTGCTTCTTGTGTTTTGAGCTTTGCAATGTGCAGGTCGTTTCGAATGGTGTCCAACCAGCGTTGCTTCGGACGGCCACGTGGTCTCTTCCCCTGTGGATCTAGACGAAGTGCTGTTTTTGCTACTGTATTATCTTCACTTCGTAAAACGTGACCATACCATCGTAATCTGGCACCTCGCATCTTATCCGCGATAGGTGCAACTCCGAAAATGTGTCGTACATCATCGTTCGTGACGCAGTTTCTTCTCGTTAGGCCAAGTATCCATCTTATCATTCGCGTCTCCATCGTGCTCAGGATCTGCTCGTGCTTTCTTGTTGCTGGCCAACATTCGGCTCCATACAGTGCGACTGGCCTCACCACAGTCCGATACACTTTCGACTTGAGATACAACGGGATTCGTCGGTCGCAGAGTACTCCTGTTACTTGCCGCCATTTTAGCCACGCCGCGTTCGTCCTAGCACGAGCATCAGTGATCGTGTCGCAATCCGACGTCACTCGGGAGCCCAGGTATTTGAACGTCGTGACCTTCTTCGGCGGCTGCCCATCGATGCTAATTGTGCCCTCGGTTTGCTCTCCGCATTCCAGGTACTCGGTCTTTGCTACGTTCAGTCGTAGGCCATATTCCGCTAATCGTGTCTTCCATCTCACAGTCGCCTCTTCAAGCTCTTGTCTCGATCCGCTTGCTAGCTCGACGTCGTCTGCGTAAAGGAGCGTCCACGGATGCGGCAGCGGGATGTCCTTGGTCACCGTGTCCATGCACAGTATAAAGAGAAGCGGTGATAGAGCCGATCCTTGGTGTACACCGACTTGGATTGGGAATGGCATTGACGTTCCCACTGCACAGCGTATGGCGCCCGTCGTGTTCGTATAGAGGAGTTTGATCCAGCGAACGAACTCTTCTGGGACGTCGTGTTGTCTCAGCGCATACCAGATCAGCCCGTGTGGTATCCGCTCAAATGCCTTTTCTAAATCCAGGAATGCGAAATGAATCGGAATCCGTTTTTCCAAGTGCCTTTCCATTAGCAATCGTACCGCGTGGATGGCGTTGATGGTGCCAGATCCTTTTACAAGGCCGCATTGATTCGGGGTGACCTCCACTATACTTCGAATGCGTGCGTCGATGACTCGTTCGAAGATCTTCATCGTGTGGCATAGCAGGCGTATTGGTCGATATGTTGAACAGTCGCTGACGTCGCCCTTTTCCTTCCAGATAGTGACTGTAACACTCGTAGTCCAGATTCGCGGCAACTGTCCGTCTACGATAATGCGGTTGAAGAGCGATGTGAGATATGCCGCTCCACGCTGCCCCATCATCTTCCACACTTCAGCAGGTATGTCGTCGGGTCCCGGAGCTTTTCCGCTAGACATCTTCCTCAGTGCCTGCACAACTTCTGCCTCCTCGATCCGAGATACCGGTCCAAGTGTGGGGGCTCCTTGCGGTACTAACGGGTGCGGGAACCCCTCATTAAATAGCCCTTTGTAGTACTCACTCCACCGCTTAAGTATTGCCCTCGGCTTCGTCAGGAGGTTGCCCTCTGCGTCCTTAATGTGCATGACGTGGTCGATGTCCTGCTTCGCTCGATGTCGTGCAGCGGCCAGTCGTAGACCTTGTTCGCTCCAGCAGGTCCTTCCAGCTCGTCGTAAAGTCTCTTGTAGTGTGCTTCCTTTGCTTCGGCTACCGCGTGCTTCGCCTTCGAGCTCTGTTCTCGATACCGACGGAGGTCTTCATTTGAGTGTGAGCGTTGCCAGGCTTTGAAAGCTTTTTTCTTCTCCTTGATCACTTGCTGGACTGACTCAGACCACCACCAGATCTGCTTGTCTACAAACCGGCGTCCTGGCTTGGTGGTACCCAAAATTGTCTCGGCCCTCGATTGTATCTGCGAAGTAATCCGATTCCATTGCGCTTCAATCGACTCCTTATCATCCGTCGACACCTTCAAACCGTTAAGAGCATCTCTGACTTGCTGGCGGTGTTCGTGAGCTTCCACCATTTGATCCTCTTTGTAGTCGTCCTTCTGGCTCGTGAACGTAAGTGGATGTTCAGTCGAAGATCCAATACGAGCAACCGGTGTTGTGGCGCAAATGCATGTGTCGCCGTGGGTATAACCTTCGCATTCATCACCATCGGCAAGTGGCATCGGCGCAGCATCCAGTAGTCGATCTGAGTTGAGCGGTCTCCACTCGCGTACGTAATCAAATGTGACTCCCTCTTCTTGGAAAATGTATTCGCTATCGCCAAGTCGTGTGCTTCTGCTGCTTCCAGGATGCGTTCTCCATCTTCACAGGATGCCTTCTCCATCTTCATTTTTCTGACCATATCCGTTTCCACCATAGTATCGCTTGAATCCATAGTGTTCGTGGCCAACGTGCCCATTGAGA